GAGTTCAGGAGTAAGAAAACCTTATTATAAATGAAAATAACAACAAAAGCCGTGGTAGCCCTTTGTCCTAGTTTGATGCCCGTGACGGAGCACTTGGGCTCTGTTGACTCCTGCTTCCTGAGAAGCAGTGGTGATAGCTGAAGTCTGAGTTCCTGCCACCCACATGGAAGATGTGGATCGAGTTCAGGGCTCTCAGCTGGCCTAACTCTGGCAGTTGCAGGAATTGAGACAGTAAACCATCTCTCAGAAATATATATTTTTTAAAAAGCAAAATTCATGTAGTTCTAACAAATGAAACTAATGTAGTAGGAAAAAAAAGATTTGGAGACCTACAATTTCCAAGAATATGAGTGAATTGTTTGTTTATCTGAGCAATTTTTGAAAGTTCTTCAGGGGGTTCTAAAATTGATTCAGGAAGCTATAAACTCCAGTGTCTTCTGTCATTAAGAAATATACTTAGGGGTGGGCATTTAGCCTACTGAGTACATTGCCTGCATCCCATATTGGAATACCTGAGTTGAAGTTCCAGCTCTGGCTCCAACCATTGTGTGCATTTATGGAGTGAACCAGCAAATGGGAGCTCCCTCTCTCCCTCTCCTCTCCCTTTCTACCTCATGGCCATCCAAAGAAATGAATAATTAACCAAAAAATGCAAATAAACCTAAAGCGAAGGGATTCAGCTTGGCGATAAAAGACCTTAAAATATTTGAAAAAATTTTAGGGCCTATTTAGTGGGAAAAAAAAAGGTGTAAAACTATTGGAAGACAAAATAAGAGAAGGAATAAGTACATTGAGAAAAATAAATACCTTGTTGTTTTCTAGGGAGACTCAATATTACGAAGAGTCAGTTCTTCCCTCAGTCACTGTAGTCGCAATGTTTAGTGTAATGAAAATTCCAGGAGGACTTGTCACTCTCACAGGTGACTGTCTGCTGACTTAAAGAAGAGCCAAGGAATTCTGTAGCAGATGATGATAATGGGACCCCTGTCAGATAGTTAATCAAAAAGTAAGCGTGCAGAGAAGTAAGAGGAACATCCGGGAACAGGTTACTGACCGGGGACCCGTGGGGAAGGTTGTCTGTGGCCGCAGGGAGAGGTGGGCTAATGAGCTGGTCTTCTGGAAGAAGCTGAGCGTCGGTAGCAGGCAGCTTCTGGACACTGAGCCTGCGGAGAAAACATGGTTACAAATTCAGTGATGCGGAGAGTACAGACAGGAGCTGTCAGAGAAGGTGTGCTTGATGTAGTAAGGTTTGACCGAATCCTAGAGGTTCAGAAAACCACTCTTCAGTCAATTATTAGATCAGCTTACTCCACATTGCACAAAAGAAGTTCCAAGTGAATCAGCTGTTGTCCTGGTAATAGCTCAAAGGAAAGATCTAATCATTAATAGATTTTTCGTTAAAATTTTTGGGTATGGAGGTCGTTAAACTTTTAATATTTTATTTGACAGAGAGTATGCGCTCTCATGTGGGTGGCGTGGATAGCTAGTGGATATGTCACAGCTGCCTCCCAGGATGCATACCTGGGGTGGAACCTGCGTGCTCCCATTAGGGATGCTGGCATGCCAACTGGTGTCTTGACTACTAGACCAAATTCCCACCCCTTTAGGTCTTTTAAAACTTAGTATGGGGGCCAGCGCTGTGGTGTAGTAGGTTAATCCTGTGCCTGCGGTACCGGCATCCCATATGGGCGCCAGTTCTAGTCCTGGCTGCTCCTCTTCCAATCCAGCTCTCTGCTGTGGCCCGGGAGGGCAGTGGAGGATGGCCCAAGTCCTTGAGCCCCTGCACCCACATGGGAGACTGGGAAGAAGCACCTGGCTTTGGATCAGTGCAGCTCTGGCCATTGTGAACCAACGAATGGAAGACCTTTCTGTCTGTCTCTCCCTCTCAAGTCTGTAACTCTACCTCTCAAATAAATAATAAAGTCTTGGGAAAAAAAAAACTTAGTATGAACATTAGAAATTACAATAAGGTTTTGCATAGTAGATTTGCTGACATAAATAAACACCTTTAAACAAGGTTGAAATGCAGGTCAGAAACAGGGAAAGGAAAGTGGTGGGTGAGACAAAGGAGTTTGTCCCGTATTTCCTTTTTCTTTCTATTTCCATACTGAACTCTGATAAAAGGTAGGGAGTAAGACCACCATAGAAAAACATATGAAGCCTCATTCATAAACAAAGAAATGTAAGTTAAGTCTAAGATGTCTGTTAAATATTGTTTTGTAAAGAAAGCAGGTTGTGAATTGGGAGTATGATGTTACTTCTGCGAAACTATAGACACACAATCCTGTGGCTATGTCCACAGAATGCTGTATAGGATATTACTATGTGAGGAGTCAGTTCCATATCATTTCAGATGGTACATTTGTCCTTTCTTGTGAGCATTGAAATTTTTTTTTTAATTTAAAGATTTTAATTATTTTTGAAATTTATAGTTAGAGATCTTCCATCTGCTGGTTCATTCCCCCAAATGGCCGGGACAGCCAAGGTCTGGGCCAGGCCGAAGCTAGGAAACAGGAGCTTCATTCCAGTCTCCCATGTGGCCCAAGTACCTGGACCAGCTTCTACTGCTTTCCTAGGCACATTATCAGGGAGCTGGATTGGAAGTGGAGCAGCCAGGACTTGAACCAGTGCCCAAATGGGATGCTGCCGCTGCAGACAGCAGCTTAAGCCACTAAACCACAGCACCAGCCCCCCAAGCATGAAAGTTTTGTTTAAAAAAAAAATTGTGAGATCAGGTGTTTGGTTTATGGGTTCATGTTTGATGTTAACCTCTTATACTTTCAGCTTTTCAGATAAAACTTGGCAGTTTGTTTTCTCAGTGATGAAATTTGTAGGGCAGCATTTGGTGTTCTGTGTGTGTATTCTGTGATCTGAATAATCAGGGACAGCTTCTACTATGCATTAATATGAGCTGTGCTGGCAATTTGATAGTTTGATCATTCCATTGAAATACACTGTAGTTGTAACATTTAGAAAAAAGATACTTCCTAGTCTTAGTGAAATAATATGATTTGTTCTCATCTGAGTGATTTTTCTAGAGGCAGATGCTTTGGCAACACAGACCTTCATGGAAAACACTGGAAATCTCTTTGAGTATTTATTAATTTTTTTGAAAGATTTATTTATTTATCTGAAAGGTAGAGTTAGAGTGGGAGACACAGAAAAGTCTTCCATCCACTGGTTTATTCCCCAAAATTTGGCCACAGTGGCCGGAGCTGAGCCAATCTGAAGCCAGGAGGCAGGATCTTCTTCCCGGTTCAGGAGCCCAAGTACTTGGGTCGTCTTCCACTGCTTTTCCAGGTACATTAGCAGGGAGCTGGATTGGAAGTGGAGCAGCGCCAATATGGGATGCTCATGCTTCAGGCAGTGGCTTTACCTGCTACACCACAGCGCTGGCTCCAGCATTGTAGTTATTGAAACCTGGACTTTACAGCTTAAAAGTAATTGATGAGGTGCTGCATTTTTTTGGTTGTATGCCAGATTGAGTTTGTTTGTTTGTTTTAAATCCATTGCTGCCAGGGACCAGGTGTCTTCTGGATTAAAGGAAAGCACTGTGCTAAGTATTTGCTTCTGTCAAGAGGTTTGCAGTTCTCTTAAAACTCAGGGTAGGACTTATCATACCATCACTTGATTTCTTGAATATGTACCTACTTTTATATATTTGGGTATAGATTTTATGAAAAGCTAGTATTTAACTTATTTGATGTGAAATGTTTAATGATCTGTTTTTGTTTCCTTCTCCATTTTCTCAGTAACTTAAAACATTTCAAAAGAATATTTAGAAAGCAAGTTTATTGTACAGAATGAGGCACATGTAATTTTATTCATTAAACAAATTGTATAACAAAGTACGCTTTGTAAATGGTTTTCCATAGCTAATATGTTTACACTGGTTTAACTAAAATCATTAGGGTAATTGATTTGTGTAAAATTGAGCCCAGTCTTTTGAAGACTTGTTTTATTTATTTGAAAGGTGGAGTTAGGGAGGAAGCGGGGCTGGGGGGTGGGGGGGAGGAGATCTGCCATCCTCTGGTTCACTCCCCAAATGGCCACAAAGGCTGAGGCTGAGCTGTTCTGAAGCCAGGAGCCTAGAGCTCCCTCGGGATCTCCCACGTAGGTACAGGGGCCCAACCACGTGAGGCATCTGTCACTGCTTTCCCAGGAGAATTAGCAGAGACGTGTATCACAAATGGAGCAGCTTGAACTTGAACTGGTGCCCACACAGGTTGGTGGCATCACTGATGTTGACTTTCTCACTACACCACAATAGTAACCCCAAGCCCAACCTTTTAAAATACATTTATTATTATTATTTTTTTTATTTTAAGATTTTATTTTATTGAAAGGCTGAGTTGCATAGAAAGAGATCTAAACTGAAAGATCTTCCATCTGATGGTTCACTACCCAGATGGCCACTTTGGCCAGGACTGGATGAGGCCAAAGCCAGGAACTTCATCAGGGTCTCCCATGAGGTTGGCAGGAGTGCAAACACTTGGGCTGTGCTGCTGTTCTCGGTGCATTAGCAGGATGGACGTTGTATCAGAAGTGGAACAGCTAAGGCAGGAACTGGTGCCCACATGGGATGCTGACTTCCCAGGCGGTGCCTTAACCCACTGTATCACATGCAGACCCCATGTATGATTCTTAATAATAGGTACCACTAACAATGTCATAACTAAATGTAGGCTAGTTGTGTTGCCGTTAAAATACTAATTGCTTAAATTCCCTGGCCTCTTACTTAAAAATAAAGCAAGAATTTTAGAAAGTTAAAACAGCGACATTTACTTTCAGATACACAGCAGAAGCACACACAGACACACAGACAACCTGTATTTGCTACAGTCTGTAGCTGTACCTCTCTGATTTTCTCTGAGCAAAAAGGTTTTGATCTTGTTTATTTTAATTCAGTTAATTGCTTTTCCCTATAGAAAATCAGGTTTTGGAGAGCTCTAACAGTATGCTATTGCTGGGCTCTCATCCTTTCTGTTTAAATAATGCAGGTACTTTGATGGAAACCTGGAGAAGCTCTTTGCTGAGTGTCATGTAATTAATCCAAGTAAAAAGTCTCGAACACGCCAGATGAATACCAGGTCATCAGCACAGGACATGCCTTGTCAGATCTGCTACTTGAACTACCCTAACTCGGTGAGTATCTGGTAGTGTAAGGCTAGCACTGACTCTAGTTCATTATTCTAATGAAAGAAGTCTGGGGGGTTAGAAGTAGTGACCAGTAAGTAGTAACGTGTCAATGTGTTAAGGAGAGGAAGAAAAAGAAAAAGAGCTGGGTTCGCTATATTCTCAATCACAACTAATTTTTCCTTTTTTAAATAAAATTTTTAAGTTCTCATTACATACTTCAATATTTCTGGAGTTTATTTACCAGCATGGGGGGAATCATGTAAAAGGTAGGCAGTGAGTAGAGTTGGTGTTCATCCAAACTAAAACACATTTGTTTGTATTCATTGTTTTGTTGGAGAAGTAGACAAAGCCACCATCTATTGGTTCACTCCCCAAATGTCCACATCCACTAGAGCTGGGTCTGGGCCAGAACCAGGAGCTGAGAACTCCGTCCAGGTCTCCCACATGCGGGCAGAAACCCACATACTTGCTCCATTATTTTTGTCCCACACAATCTGTGGGACAACTCTGATGTGGAACTTGGGCATCTTAACCCCCAGTCTAAACACACACTCCCACCTTGTTTGTTAACCCCCTAAAAAAAGAAATACTGTTTGCTAGGGAACTTTCAGAATCCTTCCTAAGATTTTCAGTTATATAAATCCATTCTAGTGGAGATTTGTGGATGGCAGGGGTGAGCAGAGATTGGAAGTAGAAGCATGCAGTTGGTATTTGTCTTATGTATCTATTCCTCTTAAAAATTTATTGAGGTAAGATGATTTACTTTGAAGTGTTTAGTGAAGAAATTTTAGGTTTCTGCAATCTTCCTGTGAAGACTACTTGATTCCATTTGCAGCATGAGTGAGTTACTTGGAATGCAATGGTAAAGATGCTTCAGGCTATCTAAGAAGTCTTATTTCTGTGATAGTTATAACTATCTTGTTCATATTCTCTACTTTTAATAATTAAGCACTTTTTAATTAATTATTGTCTACCAGGTCTTATTCTGTTTGTAGATGTAGACATATTGAAGGTTTTCCCCTGTTTATCTTGATCAGCTTGTTAACTCTTAACTCTTGATAGAGTTTCATATGTCTTTAAAAAGGCACATTTGAAAGGAGCTAATTTATTCATATTTTTAAGTGATTATGAAAGAAACAATTGAATACTTGGAGTCAGTGAGTTAAAGTAATTTAGTAGGTAAAGTGCTAAACCTACCTCAGATTTTCAGACTCTTATTAAGGTAAATATTTGCCTTAGGGAGAAGATCTCACTGTTTTTCTTTGTCTTTCCAATGAGTAGAATAAAGTTTTCTCTCAGCTCTCTTCTAGTCTTTGGATCTGTCATTTCCTTCTCCTTAAATCACCATCCTAACTTGAGCTTGAGTATTTTTTTTTTTTTTTATTTTTTATTTTTGATAGGCAGAGTGGACAGTGAGAGAGAGACAGAGAGAGAAAGGTCTTCCTTTGCCGTTGGTTCACCCTCCAATGGCCGCCGCTGCAGCCGGCGCACCGCGCTGATCCGATGGCAGGAGCCAGGAGCCAGGATCCAGGTGCTTTTCCTGGTCTCCCATGGGGTGCAGGGCCCAAGCACCTGGGCCATCCTCCACTGCACTCCCTGGCCATAGCAGAGAGCTGGCCTGGAAGAGGGGCAACCGGGACAGAATCCGGCGCCCCGACCGGGACTAGAACCCGGTGTGCCGGTGCCGCAAGGTGGAGGATTAGCCTATTGAGCCACGGCGCTGGCTATGAGCTTGAGTATTTTAAAGAATAATTAGTACTACTACTTTTTTAAACTTTTTTTTTTTAAGATTTTATTTATTTATTTGAAAGAGTTACACAGAGAGAGGAGAGGTAGAGAGAGAGGTCTTCCATTTGCTGGTTCACTCCCCAATTGGCCGCAACGACTGGAGCTGAGCCGATCTGAAGCTGGGAGCCAGGAGCTTCTTCCGGGTCTCCCACGTGGGTGCAGGGGCCCAAGGACTTGGGCATCTTCTACTGCTTTCCCAGGCCACAGCAGAGAGCTGGATCGGAAGTGAAGCAGCTGGGTCTCGAACCAGTGCCCATATGAGATGCCGGCGCTTCAGGCCAGGGCATTAACCTACTGTGCCACAGTGCTGGCCCCCAGTACTACTATTAAAATACTTTAAATTTGGGGCTGTGGCGCCGGCACCCCGGGTTCTAGTCCCGGTTGGGGCACTGGATTCTGTCCCAGTTGCTCCTCTTCCAGTCCAGCACTCTGCTGTGGCCCAGGAATGCAGTGGAGGATGGCTCAGATGCTTGGGCCCTGCACCCACATGGGAGACCAGGAGGAAGAATCTTGCTCCTGGCATCGGATCGGCACAGCGCACCGGCCGTAATGGCAATTTGGGGGATGAACCAATGGAAGGAAGACCTTTCTCTCTGTCTCTGTCTCTCTCTCTCACTAACTCTGCCTGTCAACAACAACAAAAAACAAACAAACAAACAAAAAAAACAACAACACACACACAACTTGAAATTCATGTTGGGACCATTTCTTTGCCATTTGTCATTTATGTAGTGCTGCAGTTTATTTGTGAAGTAATACTAAGACCCAAATAACTTGTCCCAGATCTGATTTACTCCTTGGCATTCTTCCTCCTGTTCCTTTATAGCCAGTTTCTACTTAATTTAAATCTAATTTGAGTAATGAAGTTAGAGGCTTACAAATAGCCACTGTAGCTTTCTCAATGCACTCAGTTACCATCCAGCAACTCAACAAACTGGAGCTGAAGTCTTGAGTGATTTAAAGTGTGAAATTTTCCTTTGCCCTTGTAACTGATGATGGAGGAAGTGCTACTCATTCAACATACAGGCACTGTGGCATGGGCCAAAAAGTCACTGACGTAGGAAGTGGCAGCAATAATGTGAACAGACTACCCTTTTAATGGCAATGTGCTGTGTGCTGCAAAGGATGAGATAGCAAGAGGAGCAGCATTGTTGCAAGGAAGAGTTGGGAAATGTGGCTCAAGCGCTGGAGCCCTCCTCTGGAGGCTGGAAGGCAGGCAGAGTAGCTAGCACTGTCTTGCGGGATGCCAGCATACCAAGTGGCGGTTTAGCCAGCTGTGCCTTCTTGGGGTAGGTATTGGACTGATACGTAGAAGGATAATTTTAACTTTTGCAGTTTTGGAGGTAAGTATCAGCTGAAATTCTCCATTAAACTCTGCTTATTTAATTAGTACTTTCTTGGCTTACACTGTGTAAGCCATACATTTCAGTTCTAGTTTCAGATGTTTATACTTTATTTATATACATCTTCAGTGCTTTTGTCCTCCTAGAGAGCAGTGTCAGCTTTATATGGGTGTCACATGGAAATGTGTTCACTAAATGCTTCTGATCACCGAGTTTAGAATACTTTGGAGTTAACTGTTGTGGATGGTCTGTCCTTTAAAAGCAATTTCCCCACCCTGTAGAGCACTTCGATTCCTAGGGCTGCCCCTCCCCACCTGTGTTACAGTTAATTCAGGGGGTCCTTTTCTTTTTTAAAAGATTCATTCATTTATTTATTTGAAAGTCAGATACAGAGAGAGGAGGAGAGACAGAGCGAGTGAGAGATCTTCCATCCACTGGTTCCATCTGTCCTCAGGGTGGGCCCAACAGCATGGGCTAGGCCAAGCCATTGTGGGTGGCAGGGGCTGAAGCCCTTCAGTCATCTGCTGCTGCTTTTTCCAGACCATTAGCTGGGAGCTGGATGGGAAGTAGAGCAGTGGGACTCCAGCTGGCGCCGTGGATGGGGTGTGGGTGTCTTAGGTAGCAGCTTTACCTGCGGTGCTCTTGACTTTCAGTGATTTAGTAACCACTGTGACCGTTAATCTGTCAGTCTTGAGGATTCTTATTTTAAACAGAATACAGCATATATGCGTGTATATGTGTTTTCACCTTTTTGTAATTGTTCGTGTATTCTCACTATAGTCTTGAGAATCAAAGACTGCCTTAGAATTCTGTGAGCAAGTTAGTGCCAGGTCTTCATTACAGGGAGTAGTGAAATGAGACTCACTTACACTTAATGTTTTACATGTTGTTCTGTCTGTAAAACCAGTCCCAGGACACACACACACAGCCTTCCATGACTGCTTCTGTGCCTTTAAAAAAATGTAGTTGTGGGGATGGCACTATGTCTCACTTGGTTAATAATCCGCCTGCGGCACCGGCATCCCATATGGGCGCCGGATTCTGTCCCGGTTGCTCCTCTTCAGTCCAGTTCTCTGCTGTGGACTGGGAAGGCAGTACAGGATGGCCCAAGTGCTTGGGCCCCTGCACCTATGTGGGAGACCAGGAAGAAGCACCTGGCTCCTGGCTTTGGATCAGCGCAGCACCGGTTGTGTCAGCCGTTTGGGGAGTGAACCAACGGAGGGAGGACCTTTCTCTCTGTCTCTCTCACTGTCTACAACTCTACCTGTCAAATAAAAACAAACAAACAAGAAGCAAAACAAAAAAAATTGCAGTTGATAGGCTGTATACAGAATTTGCTGTACTATTTGCATTTAGTATCATAAGCACCATCAAATTTCACTAACGTGTTTTAAAAATAGCTAATTAGAAAATGTAATGGACTAAATAAAGCAGAAGTAAGAACCATAAAAACAGTAAGTATGAAAAAACTTGACAAGAAAATGTGAAAGTTTGTTATGAAGAAGACTTGAAATACCAAGAGAGTCAGAGACAGCTTTAATATTTGCTAAGATTAGAGAAACGTTTGGAGAAAAATTAGAAAAATAACCAAGTAACAGTAGGCTGGCAGCGGAGAGCAGTGCGTGGAGCCATGCTGCCTGTCATGGGAGCACATCATGCTACCCACGTGGGCTTGGATGGAGTTCAGGGCTCCTGGCCATTGCTGCCATTTGGAGAGTGAACCAGCAAATGTAAGCTGTGTCTGTCTCTCCCTGCCGCCCACCCCCCAGCTTTGGCCCTATCTCTGTCTCTTGCTCTGTAACTGCCATTACAATAAATAAATAACTTTGTTTTTATAAGGATGTCTGAAGGGAACTTGGGGCAAAGTAACATGATTCTTCTTCTTCTTTTTTTTTTTTTTTTTCCCTTAAAGCTTTATTTATTTATTTATTTGAAAGGCAGAGTGACAGATCTTCCATCTCCCCAGATAGCTGCAACAACCAGGGCTGGGCCAGGAGTTAATATCTGCTTGCAACACCAGCATCCCACATTAGAGTGCAGGTTCAAGTCCCGGCTGTTTTACTTTTGATAATACTCTCTGTTCATGCACCTGTAATAGCAGAGGAAGATGGCATGAATACTCGGACCCCTGCTGCCCATACAGGAGACCTGGATGGGGTTGTGAGTTCCTGGCTTCAGCCTTGACCCGGTCTAGGATGTTATGGCCTTTTGCGGAATGAACTAGTGGGTCGGTCTCTCTCCCACTACCCCCTGTCTAACCCTTTAAAATCTGATTTCAAATATTAAAACTTCAGTTATCATGAAAGAAATTAGAATCAAAATTAATGAAATTAGTTTAATTTTCCTACATTGACATGAGTGTGAATACCCATGTGCAGTAGTAATTGTTACAAGCTCTTTGGAGAGAAGCCATTCATATAAATGTTCACCTGTTACAATACACTTCTACAAGTTTGTCCTATAATACATTCATATGAGCACAAAGATGTGTACATAGTCAAGGTAGCAGTAGAGTAGTCAAATGCAGCAAGTGTCCATTACTAAGGGACTGTTTGAGGTAAACTCTGATCTCTTCAAGAGATAAACCCACATGTACCCTTGTGGAACCACATTAGAAATCTGTTAATTTGGCTGGCGCCGCAGCTCAATAGGCTAATCCTCCACCTGTGGCGCTGGATTCTGTCCCGGTTGCTCCTTTGCCTGTCCAGCTCTCTGCTGTGGCCCAGGAGTGCAGTGGAGGATGGCCCAAGACCTTGGGCCCTGCACCCACATGGGAGACCAGGAGAAGCACCTGGCTCCTGGCTTCCGATCAGCGCGGTGCACCGGCTGCAGTGGCCATTGGAGGGTGAACTAATGGAAAAGGAAGACCTTTCTCTCTGTCTCTCTCTCTCACTATCCACTCTGCTTGTCCAAAAAAAAAAAAGGAAGAAGAAAGAAATCAATCAATCTGTTAATTCAAAACAAACAACAAGAATGTGTGGTTGCTGTTCCTTGCATGAGTGCCTCTGGATGAGTGTGCAAGACTAGGAAGCAGCTACTGCTTCTTGGTTGATGAGACGGAGAACAGGGAGGAAGAAGAGGAGGGAGACTGATTTTTCAGCAGACTGTTAGATTATAGCCAGAGCCTGTATTACTTTGTCTTTCCTCTCTCCAAATAAATAAATCTTAAAAAAAAAAATTGTAAAATACTCTTAGACTAAACTAATTATTTTAGACCCTTTGAAAATATATCCTGTCGGGGCCAGCTCCCTAGTATAGTATATAAAGCTAACACCTGCAGTGCCAGCATCCCATATGGGCACCAGTTCGAGTCCTGGCTGCTCCACTTCGATCCAGCTTTCAGCTATGGCCTAGGAAAGCAGTGGAAGGCCCAAGTCCTTAGGCCCCTGCACTGGTGTGGGAGACTTGGAAGAAGCTCCTGGCTCCTGGCTTCGGATCAGTGCAGCTCCAGCTGGTGCGGCCAATTGGGGGGTGAACCGGCAGATGGAAGACCTCTCTATCTCTTCCTCTCCTCTCTGTGTAGCTCTGCCTTTCAAATACATAAATAAATTTTTAATATATATGTATATATCCTGTCAGCCTTCTAATGCTATTTAAAATAGTTAGCTAATACATCATTATAGAATACACTGTACTTAATTTAACTGTGCCTCACACATCATCATGTAAGTAATCTAAGATTAGAATAGAATGTTGTTGGGATGGGTGGTTAAGATACCGCTCGGGACACCAGTGTTCCCTACCAGAGTTCCTAGATTCTAGTCCTGTCTCTTTTGATTTTGGCTTTCTGCTAAGGCACACCCTGGGAAGTAGGTTCCTTCTACCCACCTAGGAGATCCAGGCTGAGTTCTAGTTTCCTGGCTGTGGCTCCTGCCTGACCTATCCAGGATGTTGTGGACATTTGGGACTGAAGCAGCAGATGGAAGATCTCTCTTTCTTGATATCTCTCTCTCTTTCTCACTGCCTTTCAAATAAGATTAAAATAAATAAATTTTAAAAATTTGCTTTCTAGGTTAACTGTATTTCACGTTGTCCTTTATTTATATTACATTTTGCAAACAGTAGATTTGAGATATAATTCACATGTTAGCAATACACCTATATATAGTAATTTTTAAATGAATTCAGAATTGTGTAATTATCACATTTTGTTCTAGATTATTCTTATAAACCCCCAAAGAAACCTCATAAATTTTTTTTTTTTTTGACAGAGTGGACAGTGAGAGAGAGAGACAGAGAGAAAGGTCTTCCTTTGCCGTTGGTTCACCCTCCAATGGCCAATGCGGACGGCGCACCGCGCTGATCCGATGGCAGGAGCCAGGTGCTTCTCCTGGTCTCCCATGGGGTGCAGGGCCCAAGCACCTGGGCCATCCTCCACTGCCTTCCCGGGCCAGAGCAGAGAGCTGGCCTGGAAGAGGGGCAACCGGGACAGAATCCGGCGCCCCGACCGGGACTAGAACCCGGTGTGCCGGCGCCGCAAGGCGGAGGATTAGCCTAGTGAGCCGTGGCGCCGGCCTCATAATGTTTTTTATGCAAGTATTCATTTTAACTCAAGCCCCCCAGCTCTAGGCAGCCACTCATGCACATTCTTTTAGATTTTATTTATTTGTCAGGCAGAGTTACAGACAATGAGAGAGAGAGGGAGAGAAAGAGAGAGAGAGAAAGAGAGAGAGAGAGAGAGAGAGAGAGAAAGGTCTTCCTTCCACTGATTCACTTTCCCAGTGGCCGCAATGGCGGGGAGAGAGAGAGAGAGAGAGAGAGAGAGAGAGAGAGAGAGAGAGAAAGAAAGGTCTTCCTTCCACTGATTCACTTTCCCAGTGGCCGCAATGGCCAGAGCTGCGCCAACCCAAAACCAGGAGCCAGATGTTTTCTCCTGGTCTCCCATGCGGGTGCAGGGGCCCAAGCACTTGGGCCATCCTGCACTGCCTTCCCAGGCCACAGCTGGACTAGAAGAGGAGCAACCGGGACTAGAACAGGCACCCATATGGGATGCCGGCGCTGCAGGCAGAGGATTAACCTAGTGTGCCACGGTGCTGGCCCTCCATGCACATTCTTTAACTGTGAATTTGTTTTTTCCAGCCTGTATGGAGGAATGAATAATTGTGTGACTGGGTTCTTCAGCCTAGTGTTTGTAAGGTCCCCTCCTGTTGCTGCCTGTGTCAGTCTTCATTCCTTTTCTATTCTGGGAAGTATTCCTTTCCATGGAGAGCACAGGTTTTGTGTATCCATCAGTTCATAGACGTCTGGGTTGTTCCTACTGTTTGACTATGATGAATAATGCAACTATGAACAATTTTTTTTTTTAAAGATTTGCTTATTTGAAAGGCAGAGTTAGGGATTTTTGATCTCCTCATTCACTCCCCATATGGCCACCATGGCCAGGGCTGTGCCAGAAACTTCATTTGGATCTTCCACATGAGTGCAGGGGCTCAAGCACTTGGGGCCATCTTCTCCTTCCCCAGGCTCGTTAACAGGGAGCTGGATAAGAAGTGGAGCTGGGACTCGAATGACACCCATTTGGATGTGGTGCTAGCATTGCAGGTGGTGACTTAACCCATTCTGCCACACACCAGCCCCTGTGAACACTTCGGTGCAAGTTTTAATCTGGGTGCATGATTTTGTTTCTTTTGAGTTTTTTTTTTTTTTTTTTTTGGGGACAGGCTGAGGTAGACCATGAAAGAGAGAGAGAGAAAGGTCTTTCTTCCATTGGTTTACCCCTCAAATGGCTGCTACGGCCGGTGCGCTGTGTCAATCTGAAGCCAGGAGCCAGGTGCTTCCTCCTGGTCTCCCATACAGGTGCAGGGCCCAAGTATCTGGGCTATTCCCGGGCCACAGCAGAGAGCTGGACTGGAAGAGGGGCAACCAGGACTAGAACCCGGAGTGCTGGCGCCACAGGCGGAGGATTAGCCTAGTGAGCCGTGGTGCTGGCCTATTTCCATCAGTTTTATGGGGATTCCGATTTTCCCAGATCCTGACCAATATCTGTTATTTTTTATTTTAGTTCTCCACTGAGTTTGAAGTACATTTCTGTAATAGGTAATGACATTGAACACCTTTTCATATCCTTATTAGTATATGGTATAGTTCTCTATTTAATACAAAGATGTTTTCTGCCTTTCCTAAAATTTGTAAATATTTGCCATAGATAATGTTTCTTCTTAATCAGGTGTTTTGTGTTCATGTCTAGATTTTACCATCTGAAAGGTCATTTTACTAGCCCATATGTTTTTGGCATGTTGGGCATTTTGGCCACTAGGGGAAATGTGACCTAACAGAGCCTTGAGTCACTCACTGTGTATAGTGATTTCTCTGATGTTTTCGTTAAAGTTCATGTTTGTTTGTTTGTTTTCCATTGTTGTTGCAGTATTTCACTGGCCTTGAATGTGGACATAAGTTTTGTATGCAGTGCTGGAGTGAATATTTAACTACCAAAATAATGGAGGAAGGCATGGGACAGGTAAATATGCCAATTTTTTTGTTTTTCAGGTTTTTCTGAATTTCCTATAGTATTTAGACCCTTGCACAAATTTAACAGATGCAATTTTCTGTATTATAAATCTCTTTGGGAATGTTCTTCTAGATCAAAATTCTAAAATATAATGGGTTATTTTTGTGTTTACAATGTGGCATTCCAGATTTAATGGGGTAAAGTTTTTTCTCTCTGAGCATCAGTATTGATATGTATCAGGCTGTACTAGTTGGGTAGTTTTGTCAAATAACTTGGTTTTATCTTTCAAAGCTATGTGTTGAAATACTAGTTACTTAGCATTTTTAGTTACTTTATGGTAATAAAAACACACAACACACATACTGGCTTTAAATAGGAAGGGAGGGATTGAAATCCCATAAATATTAAAATATCCCAGAACCTAGCAAAGTGCCTGGCCATGGTAAGCATTCAGTAAATGCCTGCTGAATGAAGACATAGTTTAAATTTCAATCTTTTTCAGACTATTTCGTGTCCTGCTCATGGTTGTGATATCTTAGTGGATGACAACACAGTTATGTAAGTATTTTTGATAGATTCTGCATGTTAAATATCGGTTAATTGGCTAAACCAAAATAACTTTCATTCAGCTCCCCAGAGGAGGTGAACGTTTTAGAAGTCTGAAGAGGCTTTCTACATTCCTTTGTGGTAAAAAAGTGCATGTTACTTGATTAAATGCCCAGTCACTTGATAGGATTTCGGAAAACCTTGGAACTAGACAGGAGAAAACGTCGACGTGTTGGTATAGGTCCTCTGGAAAGTAGATATCTGTTCAGGAAGAGTTAAACAGGAGAGAGATGGACTGTGAGGCAGCATCATACAGGCTGCAGGGGAGGCGAGGGACGAGGAGGAGCAGGGAGGCTGTGACACCTGTTAAAGGAGAGAGCGCAGGATTCAGGAGGAGGAGCCTCACTGCGATGCAGCTGTGAGGGTTTCTGGCAGCCCTGTGGGAACTCCAGTGCAGACTCCCTGGTAGGCAGAAGTGAGGGCCTCCAAGTATTGCTGCCATGTCCTGCCCTTGATTGGTATCATTCAGGGAGGGTGCCTGTGATCCCAAAGATCCTGCCATTATGAAAAGTTCTCTGTGGAAGGGAGGAAGAAACATTGTTTCCGAGCCTGGAGAAATCTCCCAGCTTGCTTCCTTTTGAATCAGTGCTTCTCAGTGCTGTGGGATTTCATACCAGGATGGTGGTTTGTGGCCTTGAATGATCCCTTAGAGTGTTAAATTAGTCCTCAGTAATCAGCCATGTGTCTGTGTTTAAGCACTGTGGTTTGAACATAACATAAGCAAGAGCAGCCAGGTGCTGGGGTGACTGAATTTCTTAACCGCATAAAGTCTTAGAAGTTGACCTGAGCACCACAATTTTTGAAGCTCATTGGTTCCAGCTTCTTACCTTTAGTCCACCGCTGATTAATTTGGAGTGTATTTACTGTTGCTACTAGCTTGATGGTAATCCTGGTTCTATCTTTCAGTAAATCTTGTTTATTACCATTTTAAGCTAGTGAAAATAAGCCATGTGTCATCTCTCAGTTGTGCTAGTCGTGTTTCCTGATGCGTTCTAGTTCTTTTCATCAGCCTGTAGTTTCATGAACATGTTACATCAGCCTACATTACTGTATCCTCTCATCCTTTCCACAAACCTTTCTGCGAATCTACCTATTCAGCACACACGCACAGGGCAGCAAGAAAATAAAATACTTCAGCTTAACAACCATAAATATAAGAGTTAAGTTTTCTATGTTATGCTATGTATAAAGTTTTATTAGGAAGGAGCAAATTATTCCACCTGAAGAATTCAGAGATTCTTAATGAATAACGTATATGGAGTAACAGTGGGAGTTGTGGGAGTAGAGGGTAACATTTGTTAAAGAAAAGATTCAGTACTTAAAGGTTTCTTTATTTGAAGAGTTACAGAGAAAAGGGAGAGACAGAAGAGGGTGAGAGATATCATCCATGTGCTGGTTCACTCCCCAGATGGCTGCAACGGCCAGGGCTGGGCCAGGCCAAAGCCAGGAGCCTGGAGCTCCACCTGCATCATCCCCGTGGGTGGCAGACCTCTCCTTCTCCCTCTCCCTCTCTGTGTGACTCTTACTTTCAAATAAATAAATAAATCTTAAAAAAAAATCTTCTACAAAGAAAGAGTTGTCAGAATGTGCTGGTATCTTGACGAAGTATATTACATGAGAGTGCTGTGTAGAGGAGTCCCATCTGGCCTATGTTCCTTGATAATAAGGTAGCACAGATCACTAAAATTTGCAGTGTTAGCCAATGAAGACATTTCACAAAGTTTGTGAAGGGAGCTGGTGTTGTGACATAGCCGATTAAGCTGCTACCTACAGTGCCAGCATCCCATATGGGCATGGGTGCTGGTTTGAGTCCCTGCTGGTACACTTCGAATCCTACTCCCTGCTGTTGTTCCTAAGAAGATAGAGGAAAATGGTCCCTGCACACACATGGGAGATTAGGATGCAGTTCCAGGCTCCTGGCTTTTGCATGGCCTAGCCCTGGCCATTGCAGCCATTCGGCGATTGGACCAGTGAGTGGATGATTGATTCATATTCTCTCTGTCTCTTCCCCACCCTTCTCTCCCCTAATCTGCCCCCCCCATAACTTCACCTTTTAAATAAAGAACTAAAAGATATTTATTTTTGTGGGAAGTAGCCCTGAAATCCATGCGTAGTTTTTCATACCGCATTTCTCATGACCTTCATGAAGACCTTCATGTTTATGAGAGTAAAATGAAGTGTTTCCATTTCTCCAGAGTGCCAGTTTGCGTCCTGGCTAATCTGCTTCCCATCCAGGTTCTGTGATTGCATCTTGGGAGGCAGCAGATTATGGCTCAGGTTCTCGGGCCCCTACCATCCATGTGAGAGACCCAGTGGAATACCTGTCTCGCCCCCAGCAATTGTTGGCATTTGGAGAATGAACCAGTGGGATGGACATTGTGACTGTCTCACTGCCCCTCAAATTAAAAAATTTAAAATATATATTTGGTCTCCTTTTGATTAATTAGAGATAAGATTAATGTGCATCTGGAATTGTGATGTTCTGAGTCAGCATCAAATGAAGTATTGCCTAAAAAGTAGCAGTATTTCCATTTCCATAAGATCTATTTATTTGAAAGGCAGGGTCACAGAGCGAGGGAGAGACAAAGGTCTTCCACCTGCTGATTCATTTCCCAAATGGCTGCAATAACTAGAGCTTGGCCAGCTGAAGCCAGGAGCCTGGAATTCCATCCAGGTCTCCATGTGGGTACCAAGGGCCCAAGTACTTGGGCCATCCTCCACTGCTTTCCCACGTGCATTAGCAAGGAGCTGGGTGGGAAGTGGAGCAGCCAGGAATCAAACTGGCTGCAGAATGGTTCCTTTTGAAAGTGGCGTATTTTGGGGCTGATGTTGTGGCATAGTGGATGAAATTGCTGCCTATAATGCCAGCATCCCATCTGGGCACCATTTCAGGTCTTGACAGCTCCACTTGCAATCCAGCTTCCCGCTAATGGCCTGGCAAAACAGTGGAAGACGGCCCAACTATCTGGGCCTCTGCACCCGCATAGGAAACCCTGAGGAAGTTGCTATATCCTGGTTGTGGCTTAGTCTAGTGCTGGCCATTGTGGCCTTTTTGGGGAGTGAACTAGAGAATGAAAGATCAATCTCTCCTGCCCTCCCCCCACCTCGTTACTGTGGCTTTCAAAATAAATTCTCTTCTTTCAGTTTTTAGCTGTTTAAGATGACTTCAAAAAGCACATAGAAAATGGAACTCAAAGGTTTGGTTTTTAAAATTTTGAGAGGCAGAGAGAGATGCCATTTATTGATTCATTCCCCAAATGACCCTTGGGTCTGAAGCTGGGCCTGTTTAAAGCCAGGAGCCAGGAATTCAACCCAAGTCTCCCGCGTGGATGGTAGTGGTACAGTTCCTTGAGCTGTCACTGCTGTCACCAGCAGGAAGCCAGTCCAAAGCTGGAGGTGGACATCACACCCAGACACTCTAACGTAGGACACAAGCATCCCATCTATGTCTTAATCTCCAGGCTAAACATTTACCACCAAGATGTTTATTTAGATGCAGATATTTAAGTCTGTGTGTAGTTTTTAATAATATTCATTTCATATAAATTTTCTGAAGACCCCTCCTCCGTGTCTTTACCTCTTACTGTGAAAGTACGGAAATCGGTGCTTCAGTGCCAACTTTTACCTTCCCCTCTTCACCTGGTGATTTCTAGTAGCTGTATAATTAGTTCATATGATCAGAGTTACCGTTACAGAGTAGTTGTAGAACCAATTAGTTGTCCATTTCAGACTGTGCTATTAGAAGAATGAATCACGCATCCAAGTCAGATGATTGCTGTTTTACATACTGTCAGGTTCTTTAAGTCTCAGGCAGGGCTGTGAAGCCATGTGGACTCTTAGTAATCACCTCGTACCATTTCTACCATGTGAGACCAAAGATGAGCTAAACTCTGATTCATGCATTAATTGCATTATAATGACACATCTCATTTCATGGTTGTAAAATGTTGTTCTTATTATAATATGCTCATTTTAGTATGCATTAATTTTTATTTTACTTCATTTACTAAGTCCTAACATACATTCATTTAAGTGTGTAAAGTACATTAACTTTTAAGCAGGGGTGGCGCTATTTGGATTTTATAACATTTCACAGGCTGTACATAGTTATCAACTTAAAAATTATCCTGCTGTGGATTTACTGAATTTTGAGTTCCACCTGCCATTGCCTTGACAGGGCCAGACAATTGATTTCATGGACCTTATATAGCCCACAGGCCAGATATTTCCCACCTCTGCTTTCAGGCTCCTTGCTTTGCTGCTGCTGCCCTGTTCAAGGGACAGGACTTGCCAGTATGCAGAGTGCTCCTCTGCTTGCCTGTCCTGATCCTTTCTGCCTGACTCTGCTGCTCACCCTCACTTACCTGTTCTTGGGATTTACTTGTGTTAATTGCTTTGTAAGAATGCTTCCAATGTTCTGCTGCTAGAGTTTGGGGTGTGTGTGTATGTGTGTATAATTTTTCCCAGTGTGACTTGCCTTTTCTGAAAAAGTGAGGCTTTTTTTTTTTTTTTAATCGTTTTTTGGATTGATTTGAAAGATACATAGAGTGAAGGAGAGAGTCTTCCACCTGTTGGTGCATTTCCCAATTGCAATGCCAGAGCCTGGTCAGGCTGAAGCCAGGAGCCAGAAGCTTCTTCTGGGCCTCCCACGTGGGTGCAGGAACCCAAGTACTTGGGCCATCTGCTGCTTTCCCAGGCATATTAGCAGGGAGCCAGATTGGAAGTGGAGCGGCTGGGACTCAAACTCAAACCAGCGCCCATATAGGATGCCAGCACTGCCAGCTTGACCTTCTGTGTCTTCATTCTCCCCCTCTTTGATCAAAACTTCATTTAATGGTATCTAATTGATCATTTTTTCCCAGTTTATGATTATTGCCATTCTTGAAATCTTTGCTTACACTAAGTTGAATTTATTCATAGGGCACAGAATTTATGGGAAATATTTTGGTAGTACGTGGCTTTCAAGTTGAATGTCACTGTCAGCACTGTTTTAAGTAGAACACACACAGCACAGAAGCTGTGCTAAGTCAGGGCTCAGAGCTAATACTCACACTGAAACTATTTCCTAGTCTCATTTACATGTAAAATGACCAATCTGCCAAGTTTTAGTAGTTAATAAAGTTATTTGTATAGATAAGGAATAACTTACTGAGAAGTGTTGCTAATTTAAATTTCATAAATGTTACTGACTTGTGACTGTGAACTTGGAAGGGAGGGGTACATGAAGCAGTCTTAGCAGACCAGATAAACTGTTACCCTGTCCTTGGCTTACAAGGCAGAGCTGTGAGGCTTTGAGTAGAGGACTGACATGGCCAGAGACTGTTGCCTGTAGTGTTGCTGCTTAAAACAAGACAGTGAGTGCCTGGGACACGACCACAGCACCAGGGAAGAGGTGGCAGAAGTTTGGGTCAGGATGGCAGCAGGGGACAGGATGATAAGTAGTGGGTTTTAGAGATTACTTTCTGGAAATAATCAGAACTAGATATGGTGATTGAGAGAAAGCAGTGAGTCAGATGACTGCAGGGCCATTTTGCATTTTTATTTTGATTAAATAAATTCAGTGACAGTAAATGTTTTTATAAAGATGTTAAATAAGTATCATGACTTGTGTGCTTCAGATGCCCAACAGTGGGAGGTGGAGTGACACAGTTTCTAGGTGGTTTGTGAGTTAACGGATGACTCCAATAAATGCTGGTAATGTTAGTGGAAACAAAAATGAGGCACAAAAGTATGTGTAGTACGTTCCCTATTAAAATTGTCATACATTTACCCATAAATGTCCAGATTCATAAAACTCTTGGGTCATTACCCTTCTTTCTAGAGTGACAGTCACAGGTGATTTTTTATTTCTTTTTTTAAATGCTTGACTATAATTTGTATGTCAAGGGGAAAAACTTTTTAAGAGATAATATTTTTTATAATTAGCTCTAAATTTAAGTATAACTTCATTTATTCAAGGTGCTGTCCAAGCATAAAGCGTGGTCTAACAATTAGAATTAAATAAAGCAATCATTGTGTTGACTGTCGTCTAGCTTTACATCATATTTCTCGAGTTACTTTGAAGTGAAAGCCAGGTATTATCCCAAACTCATGGGTGGTTAAATGCCATTGACCCTGTGCTTACCATGTATATAGTAGATGCTAACGAGGTTATTTTTGTTTACCTAGAGAGCTAACTTCTGCTAGTTGAGTTGACATCATAACCATTTTTTATTTATTTGTTTGAAAGGCAGAGCTACAGAGGGGGCGGGAGGGAGAGGGAGAGGGGGCCTTCCATTTGCTGGTTCACTCCCCAAATGAGCACAGCAGCTGGAGCTGGGCTGATCCAAAGCCAGGAGCTTCCGCTGGGTCTCCCATGCAGGCACAGGGTCCTCCGTTGCTTTCCAAGGCACACCAGCAGGGAGCCGGATTGGAAGTGGAGCAGCCAGGACTCAAACCATGCCATATGGGATGCCAGCACTGCAGGCTGAGGATTAACCAAGTGAGCCACAGCGCTGGCCCCACAAAACACTTTTGCTTTCACTTTTGTTGGAAACTTACAATGAGGGTGCCTGCTGTCTCTGTGTTTCTACCTCTCTCTCTAACTCTTCCAAATGTATAAAATAAATGTTTTAAAATCAAAGAATTAGCTCATGAATGACCAGAGTGTCTCTAATTTCCCTATCATCATTTGAACAGACATCTTTTTTTTTATTAAAGATATTTATTTATTTATTTGAGAGGGAGAGTTACAGGCAGTGAGAGAAGGAAACAGAGAAAAAGGTCTTCCTTCCATTGGTTCACTCCCCAGATGGCCACAATGGCTGGAGCCGTGCCTAACTGAAGCCAGGAGCCTCTTTATTATTGTTATTTAATTGATGCAAAGTCCACAGTCTTTTAGTACATTCACAATGTTGTGTAACCATAACCTAATTCCAGAATATTTTCATCATGTACATTAAGCTGTCACTCTGCATCCCCTTCCTCCTTCGTGCTAGCAACAGCATTCAGCTGTTGGCTGTCTCTAGGGATGTGCCTGTTCTGGACATTTCAAATTAGTGGCATCATCAATGTGGTCTTTTGTGACAGGCTTCTTCACCCATGTTGTAGCATGAATCAGCACTTACCTCCTTTTTATCGCTGAGCAGTATTCTGCTATGTGGATGTTCCAGTTTTTGTGAGAGCTGGAGAAATGGTAGCGCTAACTTTCTGAGGAACTACAAGTATGCTGATTGTTTTCAGGCCCTAGTTTGAACACCTCTGATGTAGGAAGGGAATATTTATTGAACACTTTCTACAGGCCAGACACTGTGCTGGATACAGGACATCCTCTTTGGATTTTACAGCATCAAAAAATGGGAGCAGGAAGACAGATGGGAAAAGATGACTACATAGACACCTGTCTGATTAGAATTATGGCAAAGTCTATAAAGGGAGTGTTTCGGGTGCCATAGGAACTTAGAGGGCCTCTACACCTAGACTGGTACAGTCTAGAGTCGGGAGAGGCATCCTGAAGTTGTACCATGGCAGTACATCTCATAGTTATTGAGTGCTTACTGTTTGCCAGGCACTTTTCTAGTCTCGAATCTTTTATTTCTGCTGTGTATTTACGGATTTGTTGTCTGAGGTATGGAGAGATCAGAGAACCTACCTCAGTTCATAGCTAGGGAACTGGGAGGCCGCCCTGACACTTCTGTGCAGGGAGTGTCTCCTGCAGACACTGTGGGGGAGGGTGTTAATGAGAAATGCAGAGGCTGTGGATGGGTCAGGTGTGCACTGAACAAGATGGAGTGGTGTCTTGTGGGAAGAAGATGGTAGGCAGGCTGTGAAGCCTGAGTTCAGCGAGGCCAAGGACAGAAACTTTTTAAGTGCCAACAATTTTCAGAAGAGGCCCTTAAAATTATATAAGCTATAGGTATCGCAAAACATAGATCCATTCCTGAATATGACTGCCAGCAGCATCTCTCATTTCATGCGCTGATTTGGTGGAGTCTATGGGAAGGGGCCAAGAATTGCTGTGTGGTGGTGGTGGTGGTGGTGGTGTTTTTTCTGAAAGGCGGAATTAGAGAGAGAGAGCTTCCATCCTCTGGTTTGCTCCCCAAATGGCTGCAAAAGCTGGAGCCAGGATTTTCTTTCGTGTCTCCCATGTGGATACAGGGGCCCAAGGACTTGGGCCATCTTCCACTGCTTTCCCAGACCATAACAGAGAGCTGGATTAGAAGTGGAGCAGCCAGGACTTGCACCTATATGGGATGCTGGCACTATAGGAGGAGGCTTTACCTGCTATGCCACAGTCCCAGCCCCAAGAATTGTTGTCTTAAAGATACAATCTCAAAGTTTTTGAACACTCTGAAAGGGGCCTCAAGTTGGCAATGCTTGGTAAGTTATTAGGGTATAATATGAACTGCATGAAAATAGGACATTTAGAATGTAAGAATCATGGGGGAAAGTCTACCAAAATAGAACTATAGAAACTTTGAAGCAGTTTATAAAGTTGTATTTCAAAATGTGGAGATAATCGCAGGTGAAAATTTTCTGATAAACTATTATTGTTCTTGGTTTCAGGCGCCTGATCACAGATTCAAAAGTTAAATTAAAGTATCAGCATTTAATAACAAATAGCTTTGTAGAGGTAAGTGATTTACAACTTTATTCTTTTAATGGGGAATTTGGCTTATTAATAGAAATACTACTGTTGACAGTAAGAAATACTTTTACCATATTTATGAAACCTACCAAAATCCTTTATTTCAAGTGAATATGACAAACTAATATAATAAATCTCTTCATATATCTGAGCTTTAGTAACAAAATTTTTGTAAGTTTTTCATTTGGATGATGGGTCTTTTTTTATTGTTGTTGTTTTTTAAAGATTTATTTATTTGGAATGTAGAGCTGCAGAGAGGCAGAGAGAGAGAAATCTTCCATCCACTGGTTCACTGCCCAGATGCTAGAGCTGGTCCAGTAAGGAGCCAGGAGCTTCTTCTGGGTCTCCCACACAGTTGCGGGGACCAAGGACCCAGGACTTGGGCCATCTTCTGCTTTCCCAGGCCATAGCTGAGAGCTGGATCAGAAGTGGAAGCAGCCAGAACTTGGATGCCAGCACTGCAGGTGGTGGCTTCACCTGCTACGCCACAGTGCCGGCCCTGCTGAGTCTTGTTTGATCACATTTGGGATTCTAACCTTGCTCTTTATCTGTTTCTTTTACATTCTGTTACCAGTAAATCTTCCATCTGCTGGTTCACTCCTCAAATGGCCACAATGGCTGGGCCTGGGGAAGGCCAAAGCCTGGAGCCTGGAGTCTGTTCTGGACTGCCACATGTGTCGCAGGGTTCCATGCACATAGGACATCTTCTGTTGCTTTCCCAAAGACATGAGTAGGGAGCTGGACCAGCAGTGGAGCACAGGGACTGAGGCCGTCACTCAGACGGGACGCCAGCATTGCAGGCAGCAGCAGCTTTACCCACTGCACCACAGTGCTGGCTCCAGCCGTGAACAAACTGAGGGTTCTTAATGATTATTTAATGGATAAAGTTTCTCAGTGGGATTTTGAAAACAGAGCAGAAGACACTTCATATATTTTATAAAAACTGTCTTCTAGGAGTAAAGACTCTTGGAGAAACAGGTTCCAGTAGCATTCTGTGGAAGGCAATGCTGGTTTTTGGGTGCTGGTGTCACTGGCCTCCTTTGCCCTTGCACTAGGGTAGCAATATAGATGATTGCTTTGTGTGCTGGGATATTTTTGCATCATGGTTTAATTTGCTTTCATTTTTAATTTTCTGACTTGTGTTTCAGTGCAATCGACTGTTAAAGTGGTGTCCTGCCCCGGATTGCCACCATGTTGTTAAAGTCCAATATCCTGATGCTAAACCTGTTCGCTGCAAATGTGGGCGCCAGTTTTGGTAAGCAAGTAATTTCCTAAATCGGAGAACTAAGTACAACTTTTTTGTTTTTTCTTGGCAGTGAGATGGTAAGAGAAACTTCTTCCCAAAGCAGAGAGATGAGTGATGCTGATTTAAAATATTGTATGGGGCAGGTGTTATGGTGCAGCTGATTAAGCACAGCCTACATTGGTAGCATCCCATGTAAGTACTAGTTCAAGTCCTGGCTGCTCTGATTCCAATCCAGTTCCCTGCTAATGTACCTGGAAAAGTAGTAGAAGATGGCCCAAGTACTTTGGCCCCTGCCACCCACATGGGAGTCCCCAAGTGGAACTTGTGGCTCCTCGCTTCTGCTTGGCCCAGCCTCAACCATTATGGACATTTGGGGAATCAACCTACAAGATGGAAGAAACACTCTTTCTCTCTCTCTCTTCCCCTCTCCCTCTCTCTGTAGCTCTGCTTTTCAAATAAATCTTTTAAAAATTAATAAAAACTGTATGTTTTAAGAAATGGGTAGAAAAGTCACAGATTATAATCTATTTCCTTAATGCTCTAGTTTTTTGTTTTAAGATTTATTTATTTGAAAGGCAGAATTAGAGAGAGACAGAAATCTTCTGTCTGCTGGTTCACTCCCCAAATGGCTGCAATGGCTTGTGGCTGTGTCACACTGAAGCTAGGAGCCAGGAGCTTCTGTCAGGTCTCCCACATGAGTGCAGGGGTCCAAGTACTGCAGTCATCTTCCACTGCTTTCCTAGGTGCATTAGCAGGGAACTGGATCAAAAATGGAGTGGCCAGGACTAGAACCGTTGCTCATGTTGGATGCCAGCACTGCAGATAGCATCTTAACCTGCTGCTTTGCAGTGCCAACCAGTACTCTGATTTTTTGAATGTGTGTTTCAAGAGGAAAAGAAACGTATTTATGTGATCACATTTTCCTGTGTACTCTACTGGGACTTACATGAGCAGACTTCAAAAAGTTTTTGGAAAATAGAAATAAAAGTATGAGTTTAGTTTAAATCTATGCATGGTTTTTCATAATACATTTTCCATGTATTAGGAATTTTTGTTTTTTAATTTGAAAAAAAGAGAGAGAGTGAGATCTTCAGTCTGCTGGTTACTCCACGAATGTCCACAATGCCTGGTGCTAGGCCTGTCTGAAGCCAGGAACTTTTTCCAGGTCTCCCATGTAGGTGATAGGCACAGGATTTGGGCTATCTTCTGCTGCTTTCTCAGACACATTAGCATGGGATCTGAGGTAGAGCAGCTGGAACTCAAACTGGTCCCCAAGTGGGATGCTGTCTTCGCAGGCAGTGGCTTCACCTGCTGTGCCCCAATGCTAACCTTCCAGTCTCCCCATAAAAGAATTTAAGAAACAATTTTTTTTTTAGTTATTTATTTGAGAGGTAGGGTTACAGGGAGAGGGAGAGACAGAGAAGAAGGTTGGTTCACTCCCCAAGTGGCAGCAACGGCTAGAACTGAAACCAGGAGCCAGGAACTTCTATGTCTCCTACATGATTGCTGGGGCCCATCTTCCACTGCTTTCTCAGGTTAAAGCAAAGAGCTGGATCAGAAGTGGAGCAGCCAGGACTCAAACTGGCGTCCAGGTGGGATGTTGGCACGATAGGCAGAGGCCTAGTCTAGTATGCCACAGCACTGGCCCCAGAAAAATGTTTTGTACCGAAAGTAACTCACAGATGTATATAGATATAGATACAGATGGATGGAAGGAAGATTTCTGGTTGTCTTGCAGTCTTTGTGGTGCAGCAGGTTAAGATGCCTCCTGTGACAGCAACATCTCACATCAGAGTGCCAGTTCAAGCACACACACACACACACACACACACACATGATTTATTCACCTCAAAGGCAGTTAAAAACTCAGAGGGCGAGACAAGAGAAAAAGCTTCCATCTAGCTGCTGGCCCACTCCCCAGATGGTTGCAACAACCAGGAGTGGGCCAGGCTGAAGACAAGGTCAGGCGCTTCGTCTGGGTCTCCATGTGGGTGGTAGTGGCCCAAGCACCAGGGCCATTCTCTGCTGACCTTCCAGTGCCATTAGGAGGGAGCTGAATCAGGAGTAGAATAGCCAAAGCTGGGACTGGCTGGCACCATTTGGAATGCTGGCGTCTCGGGTGGCAGCCTCACCTGCCGCGCCACCACACCAGCTCCAAACTAACACATTTGTTCCATTTTCACTCCTTTGACAAATTTCAGTCTTTCTTCTAGAAAGAAGTTGTGCGAGAACTCCAGCCCTTGGAATTCTATATTTAGCTTCTGAATTCTGAATCTGCAGGGTTTTGTTTTGTTTTTGTATTTATTTACTTGAAAGGCAGAGTGAGAGGATTTCATCAGCCTTGTGGGTGGTTGGGTATCCAGATACTTAGATCATCTTCTTTTATGCTGTGTTAGCAGGGAGCTTGAACTGGTACTCTGATGTGAGATGCTGCTGTCACAGGAGGCATCTTAACCTGCTGCACCACAAGGACTGCAAGACAACCAGAAATCTAACATCCCCTGGTTCACTCATCAAGTACCCACAACAGTAGGGCTGTCCAGGATGAACCCTGGTGCCAGTAAATTCCATCCAGGTCTCTTGTGTGGTGTCAGGGATCCAGCTACTTGAGGTATCACCTGCTTTGTCCCAGAGTGCCCATTAGCAGGCAGTGGGATAAGGAAGCAGAGCAGCCAAGTCTTGAAGCAGGCACTCCAGTGTAGAATACAGGTGACCCAAGTGGTGACTTAACCACATGGCCACCCCAGCTTCTGGATTCTAAAATCTACTTACCAATGAATTCCAATGACATATGGTAGCGAGTTTCTTATCTGTTTAGGTGTGTAGTAGGCTTTCTCATTTTTCTGTTTTTAAGTTCTGGTTGCCTTTCTCTCTCTGTCTCTACCTCTCTGTCCATAGCTCTACCTCTCAAATAAATAAATAAAATCTTAAAAAAAAAAAAAAGAATCATATGTGTATACCATGAATCTAAAAGATTAATTATATTGTTGCCTATGCATTAGTAGTAAAATATAATTAACCTACAAAGTCAAACTTCAATTCTTCCTTTGGTTAACATAAAAGATTGAGTTTGCACCAATGAAGAATTCTTTGAACTACTTCTCAGTACAGTCCAGGATACTGTATTAACAATTTCATCAAGCCATTTCTACATATAATCATTCTTTTCATTGTAATTTATTTTTTACTTATTAAAGAGGCAGAGACAGATACCACTCCGCTCTGCTGATTTACTTCCCAAGTTTCTACAATGGCCAGTACTGGGCCTGGCTGAAGCTGAGAGCAGGAAACTGAATCCAGGTCTCCTCTATGGGTGACGAGAGCCCAGCCACTTTACTGCCTCCCAGGATCTACTCATTCTTCATTTCACATGTACTAAGTACATACTGCATGCTAGTCCTAACATGTACTGGATTCTAGGTAATTTACCATGAAATAAAGCAGACTTGTTTCCTGCCCTTGGATTTCTGGCCACTGGAACCTGAGTGTAGTACTGTGGAACTGTAAAGCATGAAATGTGTGTTTGGTTCACTTATTTAAGCAGGGAGGACGTAATTCTTTTCATTCTTTTTGTCCCTTAACAGTTTTAACTGTGGAGAAAACTGGCATGATCCTGTTAAGTGCAAGGTGAGTCTGTCTGGCTTTTACACTTTAAGTAATACAGTTGAATACTGAAAATAATAGCTGGTGGTTTATCCATGAGCACATGAAGAATTTATTTTGCTGTTTGTGTTTCAGAGAGATTAACTTAGTCATTCCGGATTAGTTTAGCATACCCTGGGTAGGGCACCTCTTTAGGTTGGCTAACTATGGAAATGCAGTGTCTTGTAGGTGGGCTTCTCATCACTCAGCTTCAGCAAGAGAAATTCCTCCTTTGGTTGATTTCGCAGAAACTGGATATCTTGCTCATTGACTTTTATATTTAAGCTGACTATAATTATGTACTGATGCAAGTTGTTACCCTTTTTCAGTTTTTTGTTAAACTCTGACAGTTGTTGTTTTTGAACAGTGGTTAAAGAAGTGGATTAAAAAATGCGATGATGACAGTGAAACTTCAAATTGGATTGCAGCCAACACAAAGGTTGGTGTTTTCCTGGTTAACTGTTGGCAGCAGCACTGATGAGGGTGAGGGTGAGGGTGGTGTGCCAGCAGTAGCGCCAGCAACAAGCCTGTCCCCGGTGGGCCTGTTCCATCGTTTTCTCCATTTCCCCCCGAGAATGGTTGGCTACTGAGAAGCTTACCTCTTGTGGTAGTGTCTGGGTTGATTTCAGTGTCAGGTAGAGTACTGCGGAATGCACGGTGCTCTGCTCTGGTTTTCATGTGTTAGAAAACTTTAGTTTCCTGGGATTTGGTTTTGGCTGCCTTTTAGAATACATAAATGTATTGTAACGTTTATTCCATGTTAGGCTAATTTACATTTCTGCACTTAAACCCCAGAATTTTCCTTTTTAGGAATCACTCTTCAAGGCATGATTGGAGCAGAGTAACTGAACAGCTATTTTCATTATGTAACTGATCTGGGCCCGACAAAACAGTGTGTTTGTGTGTTTGTTTGTTTTTTTTTTTTTTTTTTTTGGACAGGCAGAGTTAGAGTGAGAGAGAGAGAGAGAGAAAGGTCTTCCTTCTGTTGGTTCACCCCCCAAATGGCTGCTATGGCCGGCGTGCTGCACCGAACTGAAGCCAGGAGCCAGGTGCTTCTTCCTGGTCTCCCATGCGGGTGCAGGGCCCAAGCACCTGGGTCATCCTCCACTGCCTTCCTAGGCCACAGCATAGAGCTGGACTGGAAGAGGAGCAACTGGGACAGAATCTGGTGCCCCAACTGGGACTAGAACCCGGGGTGCCGGCGCTGCAGGCGGATGATTAGCCAAGTGAGCCGCAGCGCCGGCCCCTGACAAAACGGTTTTTTCAAATCTATCTCATGTTAAACTTCTAAAATATTATTTATTGAGAAATTTGTCTCAAATTTAAGGATAATATTTCTATCTCCTTGCTTTTTTAAGTGGACTGATGGTAGCTTCTTTTTATGGCTGTGAAGCACTTTCTTAACTTGAAATGCAAGTGTTGTTGAACCACCCATCTTCTGTTTGATGAAGTGGTAAGCATTTGCATTCCAGCTGTGTGCCCTGCCTGCTGGTCGCTCGATAGAAAATTGCATGAATGTCCACCCTATAGTCAGTCCAATCTTCTATCTGTGGTGAGTGACAAGTATATGTTTTTGTCTCCTAGAAAGTAATAGCAGTAAACAGTGAATCCTGTCACATGCAATAAATGCCTGGGTCCTTAAGGAATGCATAGTAGAAATCAGTATTACTATGCTATCTAAAATCATGAAAAGCATAATTCATGTCACTCAAGAAACCTTTACTAAACAAACACAATGCCATTAAGTACTTTTTTTTACTTAAGATAAAACTTCTACCCAAGCATTCTTTTTGTGAAATTGAAGATTTCCCTACCAGAAATGTTTATTGAAGTCCGGAGATCCTTTAATGTGCTCTGTAAAACTAGTATTTAGAATGGAGTAGGTATATTTTCACTACCTAGTTTGATTAAACAGGAGCCTTCTTGCAACATTTAGGAAAATCTCTGAATATCCTAAAGCTCTGCAGTGTTTCAGTCAAGGAATACAAGCTTGGCTAGATTATGCTTTGTTTGGAAGGCAGATTGCCAAGGAGAGATGGCACACAGCACTATCAGTTTACCTGGTAGTTAGGAGATGAAGCTGAAGTTTTTCTCCAGAGGTCTTGTTTTAGTTTATCATTATCAGCTTGTTAAGTAGATTTTTAGAGTATCAATGTTTTCCTAACATTTTGTTACTATTTGATTATCTAAAAAATGTAGAATGAAATATATTTTGTATGTGAAATATGCTTCTTTGGGAAGATGTAAAATTTCTTATGTAGGTGATTTAAATAATTTGACTTAGAATTCTTAACAAAAAGTTGCTGTATTAGCCTGTTGGAAATTACTGTACTTTATGGCAGTGCAGTCCATTTCACAAAGAATGCCAGACTGCGTAACCATAATAATCCAGATCCTCCCTTCCTTGGGGTGTTATAGACGTCAAACACAAGTATGACCCTGAATCCAAATTTACATCTTAGTCATAGTGTTAGCAATAGAAAATGAATAGTGTTAATTCTATCTAACATGATCTCTTTTAACATAGTAGTTATAGGGACCCAATGAAGAGGATTTAAAACATGAGTGTTCGTCAGAGAAATTAGGAAATTGAGTGGCCACACAGTGAATTTGCAAATCAAGTCCTGGTTTCCTGCCTTGCTGACTCCTGAGGCTATTTTGCTTGGGTTTGGATCCCAGCTCTACCATTTACTACTTGTGTGACCTTGGACTTATTTCTCCTTATTTTTCTGTCATAATTAATTCATCTTGACATGGGACTAGAAATAGTGGTAATTCAATGATTATAGTGATGCATATAAAATGCTGAGAACAGTATGTGGGTTATAGGAAGTTTTATTTTTTTCTAAACAACACTAGAGAGTATATTATATTAATATGACCAAAATGTTTTACCTAATACCAAAATTAATTGTGTGATTAAAAGTACTTAAAATATTATTTTCCCTCTATTCCACTTACCCAAAAAAAATCCTTGTACATCTTCAATGCCAGTAATAATAACAGCTCATTTTTAATAGTATTTATTAAGTATTTGACAGTGTTCTAAGTACTTTATATGTATTAGCCACAATATATATGTTATCTAATAATTAGTTGGACTAGAACCGGCTTCTCAGTGCTAGTAATGCAACCTTAGTGTAGCGTTGACACCAACTTTACAGTTTCTCTTCATAGGAATGTCCCAAATGCCATGTCACAATTGAGAAGGATGGCGGTTGTAATCACATGGTCTGTCGTAACCAGAACTGTAAAGCAGAGTTTTGCTGGGTGTGTCTTGGCCCTTGGGAACCACATGGATCTGCCTGGTAGGTGGGGAAGTGGAAATGTATGTTCACATAGCATGTAATGGGTGCCGCATGTTACAGATGTCTGCCTCAGTGATCACCATCTACCTGGAGAGCTAAAAAAAAATAGATCTGGTCTGTGGTCCATGTTACAAGAGAGGATATGTAAGATATCCACAGAGAGGGATTAGTAAGGCCTATTTCTCAGGGGATATAAAAACGAGATGAGTTTTAAGGAAGCCCAAGAGTTCATTTGTTGAAGTTCATTTAGGGTTAAAGGACCAGCAGCATGGACAAAGGTGGGGTCATGACTCTTCAGAAAAGAGCCATGTTGTCTAATGCATCTCTAGGCCAAAGTTGAAGATGAAAAAGCTCTTGGCAGAACCCACAACATACAGGTGTGTTGTTTACTCTATACATCACTAGCAGAAAGTTTGAAGCTTTAAAAATTGGGAAGTTGTCCAACAAAGTCTCTCTTTTTAGCTTCTCTTTGAAACTTAGGAGCAAGCTTGTGTTTTTGTTTGGCAGTGATCATTTAAAACTAGGTAGCCACTATTCAGATGAGCCTTTACCTTCCAGCTGGATGCATAATGGCATTTGCATGGACAGCTGTTGCTGGGCATCAGTGGAGGAGAGGACTTTCTAGGACCTCCGCTAGTAACCACAGTACAGATTCCCTGAATCCTGTTTATAAAATGGGGTAATCTACACCCTCCCTCCTGCATGCTTGAGTTATCTCTAAGTTCCTTGTAATGCTTATTACAGTGCAGATGCTGATATGATTTGAATGCTATCTGAATAGTTGTTAGACTATATTGTTTAGGAAATGATGAGGAAAAAATGTCTGTCTATGTTCAGTATACATGTCATTTTTTCCCCCCAAATACTTTCAATCCCTGGTTGGTTGAATCTAGAGACATGAAACCTGCAGAAGTGGAGGACTGACTGTCACAGGGCTCAGATGTGGAGGGCTGACTCCATCACAGGGCACCAGAATTTTTCAATTAGTAGTAGTAGTATATACCTTTGTTACATGTATATTTATTGGTTTGAAGAAATGCAGATGAGACTGACAATACTTTGAGATTTCAGGAAATTCGGAGCCAGCACATGTTGTAATAGAAGTGAAAATATTTCTGAGCATTATATGTATAGATGTCCCACTTCACTCATTTATAGTGCCTGCCTGTACCCTCTTGGCATTTGAGTTTGTGAGCCCTGGTAAATTGTGGGGAATAGGAAAAGAGATAGAAAATAAACTGACATCTAGAATACTTTGGGTATTGTCACAAGTATGGTTATAACTCTGGATTTAGATGAGAAGGCTTTGTGTTATGTGCTTTACATAAATTACCTCATATTTCTGGTGCTTTATATTGAGTGGATTGGAGGGAAGAAATAGCAGGTTTTAGACAAGAGGGGGAAGACCTGAACTTGAGACAGTGGCAAGTCTTTTATTTTTATTGGAGCTTCCTTTAGTTCCATTGGAGGAATAGTAAAAGGAATTATTTCTCTGAAAGTAATTCTGGACTGAATAGGTAAGTGGATTTTTTTTTTTTTTTTAAAAATTGTCATTGTCAAACAAGGAAACACAGAAGGGAAGATACTTGGTGTATGGCCAGATAGATACTCTAAGTTTTAAGAATATAAATTAGAGGATTAGATTGTTTCAGAAACTTAAATCCATCAACTAAATCTATCCTATACTTTTATAAGAAAGCCTAGTGAATTAGGGGGAAGAGAATGGGGAATAAGAATTATTAAAGACTTGAATTTGTGTAATGACAGCTCCAACTCAGGTTTTAAAGGAGCTCTGCTGAAACCTGAAAAGGAAACAAAACCAGTGGTGGACACAGAAGAATAGAGAATGGCCTGGACTGGGTGGGTCACAAGTGCTGCCTGTGCCTAGCCCTCTCCCATGCTGACATTGCTGTTCTTTCCCACTGTGTCATTGAACGCCTCAGTCTCACTTGAGTAGCACTGTCAGTTATTGAAGTTACAAGTACAGATGAATCCTAAGTATTTGTTTTCCTAGCCTTCAAACTTGTAATAATATTGACAAAGTCTGGAATGAAATGAGGCTTTTACTTGGGTTAAAAAATATATCAAAGGGAGAAGTTGTAGAGATGTATCTGATTCAATGAAAAAGTGCTGATGGTTGACCAAGGGGAGTGATCTACGGGTAGGTTGAATAAGTATTACCAAGACAGAATTAAAGTGTTAGTGTAATAAAAATTAGTAATACGTCTTTGGACCCAGGTAAATTGTTATATCTAGGTTACTTTAAAACTTGAGGATAAGTTCTATAGGGCATTGTTGATTGTTGATTGTTTTTCTGAGTAATTACAGAAAATAATTACTGGAAAGACTGAAAGCAGGTGATGAAAAGTTTGATTGTAAGGCTTTGTGTGTCTGTGTCTCACTCTGCTATATTAAGTATATACTGCTTTTCTGGTTAGTTGTATTGATGACTTGCTTGAACCTAATAGAATAATCTTGTACTCATTTTGGAGTAATATCAAGAGTTATATTGAGTGTACATTTATTAAAATCTTGAAGAAGTTGACAAGATGGAACGGTGGCTCCAATTCAGCAGACATATTTATGAAGAATTCTTTTAGTCCTGAAAATGTCACTGTTAACGGTTCTGAGAAGTGTGTGAGTAGCGCCCTCCGTGGCTGAGGCATAGGCAGTTGGGCATGAGGTTGATTCCCAGCTCTGAGCCTGCAGTGTGCCGCTTATCCTCTCTAAGTGTGATTCTTCACTGGCTGGTGAGGATACAATGCGTATTCCATAAGGTGTTCGACAGAGTTAAATGTGATGTAGGTGTGTATAGTAAGCACTTAACACATGGCTCCCCTGTGACTCATAAATTATAATAGCGTGTAAAATACATAGCACAGTGTCTGTTACGTAATACACCATCAACTATTGGTTGTCCCATTGGTTTATAATAAAAGAGCAGATGACAAAGTGAGTAACTCTGAAAAAATGGGGAATATTTGGTTTAAATAACAAATGGCCCCTGAGATGATCTCTTTATTCAAAAATTGAGTCTAGCCTGCAGTCAGTAAATGGAAGTTCTAGAAGACTGTATGTTCTAATGATTATGGGTAAGCCCGATTTCAGTGGACTGAATATAGAGAGCCAGTCCACTATTGCAGATTAGGTGTGGATTAGTGTCAACAATATTTTCTTTCAGTTCCTTTCAGCCTGAAATCTATCATTATAACAGTAGAACTGTCAATATTTTAACAACTCAATCTGTTGTTAAAAAAAAAAAAAAGTCTAGCTCATCTCTAGGTTAAAATTCTGAAATTTGTAATATTTTCATTGAATGGTGGCTTTATGGAATCCTCTTAATTTACTTTAAGGTACAACTGTAATCGCTATAATGAGGATGACGCCAAGGCAGCCAGAGATGCACAGGAGGTAAGTGCAATTATTAGAGGAGAGCACTCGGGCAGGAATGCACGTTGTGTATCTGTTAGGGAATAACCAGCAGTTTTCAACTCTTAGAGCTTTCTAGAATGACACTGCAGTCCACACTTGGTATCTCTATGCGAAATGCTTATCAGAAGAATTCTTAGGGGCAGGTGTTGTAATGCAGCTGATTCATATGCAGCTGATCAGAGTGCCAGTCAGTCCTGCTCTGCTTTTTTTTTTTTTCTTCAAGATTTATTTATTTTTTTAAGAGGCAGAGATAGAGAAAGAGGTGTGTTCCATTTGCTGCTTCACTTCCCAGATGGCCACAAATGGCCTGAGCTGGGCTGATTCAAAGCCAGGAGGCAAGAGCTTCTTTTGGGTCTCCCTCATGGGTGCAGGGGCCCAAGGACCTGGACTGTCCTCTACAGCTTTCTTGGGCCATAGCAGAGAGCTGGATTGCAAGTGGAGCAGCTGGGACTCTAACCAGTAGCTACATGGGATATTGGCATTGCAGGCAGCAGTTTTACCTGTTATGCCACAGCACCTGGCCCCCCGAATTCTTTTTACAGGAAAAAAAAAACCAGTCCCTACAAATACCAGTACTGATTTAAATTGTATTCATTACAGTATTACAAAATATATATAAACAGGAAATGAGCCATAAAGTCTTACTTTTTTTTTTTTTTTTTAAGATTTATTTATTTATTTGAAAGTCAGAGTTACACAGAGAGAGGAGAGGCAGAGAGAGAGGTCTTCCATCCAATGGTTCACTTCCCAGGTGGAGATGTGCCAATCCGGAGCCAGGAGCCAGGAGATTCTTTCGGGTCTCCCCCGTGGGTGCAGGGTCCCAAGGGCTTGAGCCATCTTCTACTGCTTTCCCAGGCCAAACTAGATCAGAAGTGGAGCAGCTGGGTCTCGAACCAGCGCCCATTTGGGATGCCGTTGCTTCAGGCCAGGGCATTAACCCGCTGCACCACAGCGCCGGCCCCAAACTCTTTAAAAAAAAAAAAAAAAGATTTATTTGAGGCCAGTGCCGCGGTTCAATAGGCTAATCCTCCGCCTGCGGTGCCGGCACACCGGGTTCTAGTCCCGGTCGGGGCGCCGGATTTTTTTCCCGGTTGCCCCTCTTCCAGGCCAGCTCTCTGCTATGGCCCGGGAAGGCAGTGGAGGATGGCCCAACTGCTTGGGAGACCAGGAGAAGCACCTGACTCCTGCCTTCTGATCAGTGCAATGCACCGTCCATAGCCCACCGGCCGCAGCGGCCATTGGAGGGTGAACCAATGGCAAAAGGAAGACCTTTCTCTCTGTCTCTCTCTCACTGTCCACTGTGCCTGTCAAAAAAAAAATTTATTTGAAAGTCAGAGTTACACAGAGAAGGAGAGGCAGAGAGAGAGGTCTTCCATTTGCTGGTTCACTCCCCTATTGGCCATAATGGCCAGACCTGCACCAGTCTGGAGCCAGGAGCTTCCTCTGGGTGTCCCACGCAGGTGCAGGGGCCCAAGTACTTAGGGCATCCTCCACTGCTTTCCCAGGCCATACCAGAGAACTGGATGGGAAGTGGAGCAGCTGGGACTCGAACTGTTGGCGGCCATTTGGGGAGTAAACCAGTGGATGGAAGATCCCTCTGTTTCTCTGTCTTTCTAACTCTGCCTTTCAAATAAATAATAAATCAATAAATAAAAATTGTGTGGTTGCTGAGACCAAGTCATTTGTTAATGCTACTCTAATCCCGTACAATGACTAGTGCTTAGATTCCAAATTAAAGCCATCATCCCTTTCAGTGACAGTTTTACTTTTATGGCTTCTTGTCTCTTTTTTTTTTTTCCCCTTCAGCTAAGACAGCAGAAGAGATGATTTATTATACGTGTGTTACACTTGGCCACAACTGAAAACAGAATTTGTCCAAAATGTCAGACCCAGGGCAGAGGGTCATCTGGCATTCTTTCAGAGTCAGGGGTTCATAGGTGGTTTGTTTATTTGAAAGAATTACAGAGAGTGAGAGGCACAGATCTTCCATTACTGGTTCACTTCCCAGATAGCTACAATAACCAGGGGTAGGCTAGCCCAATCCCAGGAGCCTGGAACTCCATCCGGGTCTTCCATGTGGGTGCACTGCTTTCCCAGGCACGGTAGTAGGGAACTAGATCAGAAGTAGAGCAGCTTATTAACTCACTGTGCCACAGTGCTAGTCCCAGGCTTGATTATTTTGCACAGCTTCCAAGTCAGTTTCTAATACTCAGATTCTTAATGAGCAAGTTTTTTAGTTTTGTACTTGGCGTCTGTTGGAGTAACTAGAATTTTCTGATACTGTGGCAGCACCGGGAAAGGTTCGTGGTGCTGTCTGTATTTGCTTGTGTGCTTGGTGAGAGCCATGCCTCCTGTCGTAGAACACACCACTGCATACCTGCCGACCTCTGCTTTCCCCACTTGCCCCATTGCTGAGTGCAGCTGGCCTGCTGTTCACTGGGAGCTTTAGTCTTGAGAGGTACTTTGAGTACCTTGGGCAGACGTGCCCGTCTTGTGTAAAGGAATTGACTTAACAAACCACAGTGCTGATGGGGTTGTATCTGCTTAGGTTAGACTAGGGAGGCAGCATGCTTTTTCTGAGAAGGACCATGTAATGTTTTCAGCTTTGCAGACTGAATGGTCTTTGTTGTGCCGAAACTCTGCCTCTGTCCCTGTGAGGCTGAGTCAGATATAGACTTCATAATGGGGAGGTGTGACAGTGATCCAAATAAACTTTACTTGCAAAAATAGGCAGCTACTGGATTTGGCTGGTAGTGGTTTGCCTACCCCTGTTCTAAGCAGTCAATTTTGGGAATTGGTGCCACTGGTGAGAAGGGTTCGGACTCACTGATTTCATTTCTCATTCCAGTCTGTGGTATTTGATTTAGAAAATTTGTCTTACATGCAGTAGTGGTTTGAGTTTTCTTTTTTCATGTAGAGTTTAGTGAGCATGTGTTTGTGAATTGTTGGTCAAAATAAACCAAGTCTTCCCAGCTTCACATATTGCAATATGGTGGTTTTCCATTCTTGGGAGTTTGACAGTCTTGTGAATATTACTGCTGGCCCTTGTGATTGTATTTAACAAGTACTTCTTGATCATTTGCTGCATATCAGATAACTGGAGAATCCAAGATTAGTGGTTTTTTTTTTTTTTTTTTTTTTTTTAAGATTTATTTATTTATTTCAAAGGCAGAGTTAACACAGAGGCAGAGAGAGAAAGAGAAGTCTTCCATCTGTTGGTTCACTCCCCAAATGGCTGCTACTGCTGGAGCTTCACTGATCTGAAGCCAGGAGCTTTTTCCAGGTCTCCCATGCAGGTGCAGGGCCCAAGAACTTCGGCCATCTTCTATTGCTTTCCCATGCCATGCAGAGAGTTGGATCGGAAGTGGAGCAGCCATTTGGGGTGCTGGCACTTAAGACATTGGCTTTACCGGCTACACCACAGCACTGGCCCCATCCAAAATGACTTTTTTTTTTTTTTTAAGAGTTATTTATTTATTTGAAAGAGTTACACAGAGAGAGGAGAGGCAGAGGCACAGAGAGAGATCTTCCATCTGCTGGTTCACTCCCCAAATGGCTGCAACAGCCGGAGCTGTGCCGATCCGAAGCCAGGAGCAAGTCAGAGTTACACACAGAGAGAAGGAGAAGCAGAGAGAGATCTTCCATCTACTGTTTCACTCCCCCTTGGCTGCAACGGCCAGAACTTCACCAGTCCATAGTCAGGAGCCAGGAGCTTCATCCGGCTCTTCCCACGTGGGTGAGGATCCCAAGGACTTGGGCCATCTTCTGCTTTCCCAGGCCTTAGCAGAGAGCTGGGTTGGAAGTGGAGCAGCCGGGACTTGAACCAGCTACACCACAGTGCCGGCCCCAAGATTAGCTTCTTAAAAGTTCATCCCCCATAGAGATTTATATAATGGGAGAGTTTTTAATGTGTGTTGCTTTTATATTATAATAATACAGAATAAATCTAGACCAGCTATAATAGTATTTGTTTGTAGGTACCTTGTATATCTCATAATGCCTGGCTTTTCATGTAAATGGAATAAAATTACTCCTTTTTAAAATAGAGGGATTTCTTTTTAAAAGTTTCTATTTTCATTTAATTTGAAAAGCAATGATATAAAGATCTTCCATCTGCTGATTTATTCCCAAAATTCCAGCAGCAGCCATGACTGGGATTGATGTTTTCAACTTTGCAGACTGAATAGTCTTTGTTGTGCTGAAACTCTGCCTCTGTCCCTGTGATGCTGAGTCAGCTATAGACTTCATAATGGATAGGTGTGACAGTGATCCAAATAAAACATGAGCATGAAGAGTTAAGCTGATGCCTACTGTGTGGGCATCCCACATGGGCGCTGGTTTGAATGCTGGCTGCTCCACTTCGGAAACAGCTCCCTGCTGATATGTCTAGGAAAACGAAGATGGCCCAATTGATTGGGCCCCTGCACCCATGTTGAAGCTCCTGTCTGCTGACTTCAGCCTGCCCCAGCCCTGGCTATTAGAGCCTTTTGGGGTGTGAACCAACACACTGAAGATGTCTCTATTTCTCTCTCTCTTTCTCTCTCTGTCTCTCTCTCTCTCTCTCTAACTCTCTAATTCTGCCTTTCAAATAAATCTCTCTCTTTTTAAATCTACCTCAATTTGGGTCTCCCATGTGGTTTGCAAGGGCTCAAACACTTGAACCATTATCTGCTGCCTCTCAAGGTATGCACTGGCAGGAAGTTGGATCAGCAGCAGAGGAGTCAGGACTAGAATTAAACACTCTTGTGTGGGGTGCGGCATCCCAAGCAGTGATTAAACAGTTGTGCCCAATACCTTTCCCATTACTCATATGAACATGTGCATAAATATTAAAGCAGTGCTTTGTTAGTATCATCTACCCAGCATTCAAATGTCCCTAATAATTCCATAAGTGTTTTTGTAAATCACTGTTCAAATCAGGACCCACACAGGTCCACAAAGTGGGTTTGATTGCCGTCTTGTGAGTCTCTTCTACTCCCTTCTCTCCCCTCACTTCCCCTGCTGCCATTTGTAAAGGTAACTGTGTCATTTTGTCCTGTAGAATTCCCCACCTTAAGGATTTTTGACGATTGCAACTCCTTGGTGGCTAATTCCAGAAACCTAATCAGTCATACAGCACTTAACCGCTTACTGTATATTTGCTATTGAATATTAGCTGTTACACGATTTTTTGTGGCCTCTGTTCTACTTAAAAATATTTTTGCTTCTTGCCTGTTCTAGATTTATTGCACACTGTAAAACAATGCTATGCTATCCAGCAGAACTTTCTTGTGATGATGGAAATTTTCTTTATCACCATTGTTCTATTTGGTAATTACTAAAATTCAATAGCCACATGTGGTTCATGGCTGCTGTGTTGGGAAGTGCAGTTACAGGATGTTCAAGGCAGTGTTGAACAGCAAAGGTAGCAGTAGTTGTCTGCTCATTAAATAAGTATATTCTTATCAGTAACTGTCTTTTATCACTACTATTTTTAACTGATAGATCATAATTGTATACACATTTAGTGCAAGCTGGTGTTTTGATGTATACATATAATGTAGAATGAGGAAAGCAAACTTACTAGCTTATCCATTCCCTCTCATTGTTTTATAGTGAGACATTTTAAATGTACTCCTTTAGTTTTAGTGAAGTATGTAATATGTTGTTGATTATAGTCACCCTGCTGTGCAGTAGATCTCAATTTATTCCTTTCATCTTTATACTTTGATGAACACCCTCCCCAGCCTCCAGTAGCCATCACTCTAATCTCTACTTGTATGAGGTCTGCTTTTTTAGATTCCCCATAAGTCAGAGTATAGAGTATTTGTGCTGACTTAACACAGTGTCCTGCAGGGTCATTCCTGTTGTTACCTATGTATGACAAGATTGCCTTGTTAAGTCCTGCCGATATTCCACTGTGTATATACCATTTGATCATCCCTTAATGGCCATCCAGGATGCCTTATCCTGGCTCTTGTAATCATGCTCTGTCAGCATGGGAATGTAGATGTTTTGTTTCAGTTCTTTTACTGATTACTGAGTCACTTTGTAGTTGTAGTTTTTTTGAGGAACCTCTGACCTGCTTTTTTAATGGCTATGTTACCTTACATTCCTACCAGCAGTGTACAGGCATTCCCTTTTGTTTGCAAACTCACCCACACTTGTTTTCTTAACATCTGTCATTTAGTTTGTTAGAAGGTTTTGTGTATGAAACATTGTGATGACTTGACCTTTCTCTTTCTAATGGGATAGCGCTCAAGGGCAGCCCTGCAAAGGTATCTCTTCTACTGTAATCGCTACATGAACCACATGCAGAGTCTACGCTTTGAGCACAAACTGTATGCTCAGGTGAAGCAGAAGATGGAGGAGATGCAGCAGCACAACATGTCCTGGATCGAGGTGCAGTTCCTGAAGAAAGCGGTGGATGTCCTCTGCCAGTGCCGTGCCACACTCATGTACACTTACGTCTTCGCCTTCTACCTCAAAAAGAATAACCAGTCCATTATCTTTGAGGTAAGGAACTTGCTGGGTGGGGAAAGCCCACCTTGTGTTACAGCACTGTTGGATCTTTGGTAGAGAAGATGTAGGTTCCTCTACACGTACAACGCAGGTAAATATGGTGCTCGTAGCATTCTGAGAAGTTTCCGTTTATTCTCCTGAGCTAGTGGTTAAATGTGCATGTTCTAGAGTCAGTCCAAAATAGGAATCTTTTTAGCTCAGTTTACTTGAAAAGATGTTTCACCTCTTTATTTCTCTTTCTAAAAATGGAGGCACTACTTTTCTAGCATGTTGGGGCTTGGAGTATGACAGTCCAGGTAATTCGCTTATACAGTACCTGGTGCAACATGTCCTGGGTCAAAACGCAGTTCCTGACTAACAGCCTGTATTCCAGGTGGGCGTTCATTGTGACTGTTCAGAAACCCACATCCCATATCAGAATATCTGGCTGGGTTCAGTTTGCAGCTCCTCCTCCTGCAGACCTTAGGAGGCAGTGTAATGGCTCATGTCTTTGAGTTGCTGCCACTCACATGGAAGACCTGGATTGAGGTCCTGGCTCTGGACTTTGTTTCCTGCCCAGTCGCAGCCACTGTGCACAATTTGGAGTGAACTCCTGGGAGGTTAATATAGTGGTTACCTTCAGATAAACAATGACTAAAAATGGCTTTCAGCGGTAAAGGTTTTTGAATGAAGATGCTTGTATGAAATTGACCCGTGAGACACCAATGTCCAAAGATGACTTATGAGGAAGGCTGGCAGGTGGGGTTAAATGAATGCTGCGTAGCATCTGTCATAGTAGTAAAGGATCACAGGAAGTGAAATTTATTTATTTATTTAAATTTATTTGACAGGTAGAGTTATAGACAGAAAGGTCCTCCTTCCGTTGGTTCACTCCTCAAATGGCCACTTCAGCTGGCGCTGTGACCATCCGAAGCCAGGAGCCAGGTGCTTCTTCCTGGTCTCCCATGTGGGTGCAGGGCCCAAGCACTTGGGCCATCCTCCACTGCCTTCCCGGGCCACAGCAGAGAGCTGGCCTGGAAGAGGGGCAGCCGGGACTAGAACCAGCACCCATATGGGATGCTGGCGCCACAGGTGGAGGATTACCAAGTGGGCAATGGCATTGACCCCAGGAAGTGAATTTCAGTCCCACATGCAGTGTTCTCCAGAGAAGCAGATACAACCAGATGTTCTTAAAAATATGTTTATGTTACTTCCTCAGGTTTTCCTTTGGTTTATCAAAGAGCAGCTCTCAGAACTAGAAGATTCCAGAAGACTTTTAAAAAAATTCTTTTAAATTAATTTGAGAGAGAGCATGTCATCTGCTGGTTCAGACCCCAGATGTCCATACCATGCGAGGCCGGGCCAGGGCAGAACCACGGAGCAGAGACCCATCACTTGAGCCATCACCACCGCCTCCCAGGATCTGCATTAGTAGGAAATTAGTATCAGGAGCAGAGCTGGGATTTGAACCCAGGCCCTCTGATTTGAGATCTAGCATGTTAACTGCTAGATTAAATACCGTTCTCAGAATGTCCTTAATACTCTTCCAGAGATGGTGGGTGAAATCTTCAGCTTTTTAAAAATTGTGTTAGAAAAGAGACAACAAGTTGTCTAGATGATGAAAAGCCATAGAAGAGCTTTATAAATACAGTTAAGATATTTATTAGAATCACACAGTTACTATTGAGTGTGTCTGAATGCTCTGTTACCTTCATTTTACCAGCACTTTTATGGTGTAATTCTTTTTGCAGAATAACCAAGCAGATCTAGAGAATGCCACAGAGGTGCTCTCGGGCTACCTCGAACGAGATATTTCCCAAGATTCTCTGCAGGATATAAAACAGAAAGTACAAGATAAGTACAGGTGAGACTTCCTGCCTAGCTGTGGAGCGGAACCTGCGTTGGGTGTGTGCCGGTATGCTTCCGTGGCGAGGTCCGTGATAGTGGCACTGGGCTGAGCCTGTCCAGCAGCTCAGCTGATGCCCTGTTTCTCACAGGTGAATGAATGCAGGCAGTAGTGCTCGTGTAGCATGGAGAAGGAATTCAGTCCTTTTCTACCCTGTGAGGCAGAAGGACGTGAGGACCATGGGTGAGAACAGGATATTGATCTTCCTTTAGAATCCTTTGGATCATGACTGTTGACAAATGAGCTGCTGCTTACATATCTCTCGAGGTGTTTTTTGTTTTTTGTTTTTTTTGTGTGTCATAGTGATCTATGACGTTTAAAAGTATACTGCCTCTTAAGCTAAAGATGCAGAATGTTTGATTTCCCAACATGAGGTTGCTTTCCTAAAGTTTTTTCCTGAAAATTCTGTGTGCTTTTTTTTTTTTTTTTTTTTTTTTTTAAAGATTTATTTATTTGAATGATAGAGTTACAGGGAGGCAGGGGCAGGGAGAGACAGGTCTTACATCTGCTGGTTCACTCCCCAAATGGCCACAATGGCAGAAGCTGAGCCAATCTGAAGCTAGGATCCATGGAGCTTCCTTCGGGTCTCCCGTGCGGGTGCAGGGACCCAAGCACCTGGACCATCCTCCACTGCTTTCCCAGGCCATTAGCAGAGAGCTGGATCAGAAGTGGAGCAGCCAGGACTTGAGCCGGTGCCCATATGGGATGCTGGCACTGTAGGCGGTGGTCCCACCTGCTACTCCATAGCTCTGGCCCCTGTTATCTTTTTAATAGTAGTAGGAATGATTGAGAATTTGGAATACTTGAGAGATTTGAGTGCATAGATTATGAAGTCACTCATTTCTGGAGCTGTTTACTTGTCTGTGGCACTATGGGTCTGGATTGTGGTTTCTAAGGGCCGTTGTTGCCTTGTAACAATTTATGATTCTAAAATGAATTCCCAGCCCTGGGCATCATGGCTTTCAAGAAGTATTCTATTCTTCTTTTTTCTTTTCTTTTTTTTTTTAAAGATTTATTTTATTTATTTGAAAGAGTTACAGAGAGAGAGGTTGAGGCAAAAGAGAGAGAAATCTTCCATCTGCTCATTCACTCTCCAAATGGTTACAACGGCCAGAGCTGAGCTGATCAAAAGCCTGGAGCCAGAAGCTTCTTCTGGGTCTCCCACATGGGTGCAGGGGCCCAAGGAATTGGGCCATCCTCCATTGCTTTCCCAGGTGCATTAGCAGGGAGCTGGATCAGAAGTGGAGCAGCTGGGACTCAAACCAGCGCCTGTATGGGATGCCAGTGCTGCAGGTTGGGGCTTTAACCCGCTACACCACAGCGCCAGCCCCAAATAATACTGTCTTAATATTGAGATCAGTTTGATGTGTCTGTATATCTACACCTGAAAGTGTGCCTGTTAAACATGGATGCTGGGTTCCAAGTCTGGATAAACTATGTAGCAGTGCCTTAAAAATAAAAAGGTGTGGGGGATGCCATATTATCTTTATCTCTCTCATAGGAAGCTGACGAGATTTTTTTCTCTTTGGTTCTAGATACTGCGAGAGTCGTCGGAGGGTTTTGCTACAGCATGTGCATGAAGGCTATGAGAAAGATCTGTGGGAGTACATTGAGGACTGAGAGTGGCCCCGCATAAAATGAACTCTGAAATCTTTACCATCTAGAGTGCTCATGCAATTAAAACAAACAAAACAAACACAAACAAGGAGGCACTAAGCCTATTCTGACACGACTGGTCTATAGTACCAGAATTCTGTTTTGTTAACGGAAAGTTTAAGTAAATTATATTGTAATAAAAAAGGTAGATAAACCATTGTACAACAGTATTCTAGGCCGCCAACAAAAGTGTGACACACACTAAAAGCCCTCCAACTTTAACTTGTAACGTAGCTTCATTCTCAAAGCTGACTCCTTGTTTCTTTTTCTTTTCCCTGAGTGTAGTACAGTTAAACTTTCCAACAGCTCCTTGACACTGCTTTTCATGTCCAAACCAGACATTTTGTTGTACTTTGGTAAAGGCCCTCTTCCCTTTCCTACCCACACACACAATACGCCCACACACACAGACTGACTCTCTTACTCAAAGTCATGAGTGAACGATTACTCCTTGTGAAGAAAATTCTTGGGACAAGGAAGGGGGTAGGCAGCAAGAGGATTAAACAAACAAAAACAAAATACTTTGTATATGACTTTTAAAAACAAGAGGACAACACAGTATTTTTCAAAATTGTATATAGCGCATATGCATGGACAAAGCAAGCGTGGCACGTGTTTGCATAATGTTCAATTACAAAAATATTTATTCTTTAAAAATCTTCAAGATTATGTCTATTTGCTGTGCATTTTCTTTCAGTTTGTTTATCTTTCCAGGGTTGGGTTGGGATGAAAGGAGACCTCTGGAGACCCAGGGAAAGCTCTGGGCACTTCCTTTCCTGGCTGCTTTGCCCTTCCTGATGCTGGTGTGTCTTGTGGCCCTCGGCTTCACGCCTTGAAGTCCCAGCTCTTGATCACAGGGACAGGGAGGCTGTGCCCAGACTCTGCCACGGCCCAAAAGGGTTGCTGTGGGGATTCGTTGCTGCAGTTCCTAAGTGATCCTGTCCCCAGCCGGACCCCCCGGGGCCACATCCTGCACACTGCTTCAGGCTTCCCAAGCGCCCTTTCACATCCTGAGGAAGCATTTCAGAGTTTGTTTTCCTTTTTGCTTTTCCCTTTGTTGCTACTTCGAGCCTTTTAAAATTTCAGTTGTGGCTCTTATCTCACCCCTTCTCCTACTTAGGGCATCAAGCAGAATGTTTTTGCTTTAAGTATAATAAATAGCCATTCACTTAGTCTCAGATTGTGAATTTAAAAATGGCAGATTCTGAGATTGCTTGTGTGTGTTGCTGTGGGTTCTGTTTGTTTGAAGGCAGACACCACTAGAACGTGATATATTCCCATCTAGTGCATTTAAATAGAAATCACGGAGTTTACTTCTTTTCTATTGTCAGCATATAGGAGAATTAATAATGCATTTTAGCTGTGATGTCCATTTTTATGAAATTTCTACTTCAGAGCTATGTTAAAAGTAAAGGATGGTGGTGGTTTTATTAACTATACGCCTGTTTGGGCCATTCTGGCTGTAATATTTTTCAACAGGTCAGCATCCCTGCGTCTGTCAGTTTTCTACAGGAATGCAGAGTGAACTAGGCAACCAGATGAGAGGTCTGCAGAAGCCTCTCTGTCTTCCTTTAGCTGCCTCGTGCTGGGGGGTGTTTCCCACTTGGAGGCAGCTCTGTCTGCTCTTGGCACTGTCCATCTTATTACTCCATTGGGAAGTAGCTTCACTTTCCTCTGGCCTTTTGCCTAAGTTAGGCTTTGCTGAGTCAACCCTACTTTTCCTTTTAGAAAAGGTTGTTAAATGAGATGTACTTGCAACTGTTCTTTTCCCATCAACAATCAGTGAATGTTTGCTGAGTGTATTATGCTGCTTCCTTAAACCACTTGTTGCCTGAGGGCCTGCTCCCTGGGCGTTTCCTCCTCTCCTCCCCGGCCACCTCGGGTGCACATCTGAATTCAGTGTCTGCTTCTTCCACGTTCTGTAGTCTCCCTTCCCTGCATCCTGCCCTTGCCTCCCATATCATCCATTTGACTTTATTTTACTCTGAATGACTGCATCAATCTTAAGTCATTTTCAAAAGTAAGGAGGTTTTTGTTTTTGTTTTTTTTTTTTTTTTTTTTTTTTTTTTTTTTAAGAAAACTTGAGTAAGTTCCTTTCCCTGGTGACTTTGAAAAGCAGCCAGTGTTGCTATATAGATATATATTTGTCTCCCTCAGAATGCTTTGTGTATGTGTGGTTTTTAAAAGTCTCACGGTTAACTTTGCAGTATCCAGGTTTGAGTGTCATAAACCCTGTTGACACGCCCCCTCGCAACAAATATCCAAAGACAGTGTGTGTGCTTCTTACCGTCAGCCCCGCCCACAGGGGACTGCCTTGGTGGGTGTGTCTCCACGTTTACATGGATTGAGGTGAACTGGCCTTTTCTGCTTCCAGGCTTCGAGCAGCTGTCTCCTTGGTGGACAGAATTCCCCAAGTTGGTTGCTCTTGTTGTCAGCAGCTTCAGTACCCCATCTGAGACAGGCAGGTGGGACAGCGGGATGCTTCCCCATTGCACCTGCTGCGTCTTTCCGTCAGAGGGCGCTCCCGCACAGTAAGCGCCAGAGTCTCCCTGGCGTCTCAAGGTTAGTTCCGTTGTCTTTGGAAAAGTGCATGCTTCATTTGAACACTTAATTGAGCAGCGAATGCACCTACCGTGATTAAAATTTTGATCCAAAGCTCAGGACACAAACAGGATGGAACAGCTTATGTTATCATCCAACTCTAAATTCTGTGTAATTTGCTGAGACCAGGATTGTGTGTGTTTTATGTGTGTGTAAATGAACACCTTAGATGTACACGTGTATACACATAGGCAAGAGACCCAAGACTGACTTGTATTGAAACATGGAATTGGCTGTGTGATATGTGGTTCAGCATGATTAGGGACTGAAATTTAGTTGGAGAGAGAAAAGAAAGTAATGTAACAAGTACTTACAGCTACAAATCCCGGTATTATAGAGCACTTGGGGGATGGGATGGGGTGGGTTGGTGAGACAATCAGATTGGTAAATTGATGAAATGCTCCTAACCCTGTAATTTTGTGCATAGAGCACCCTGTGCTGTGGAAATAACTGTTCTTAGATTTTCATTGTAACTGGACTGTTCAGGTTGCCCAGAGGGAAAGAACATTCCTAATTCTAATAAAATAAACTTTTATTTTGTTATTCCATTAGTTATTTACGTTCATTTTTGTAAAGAAGAAGGATGCACGGAGGCTAGCAGCCACCTGCATTATGTGCCTTAGTCCCCGTTCGTGTGTGCTAGCGAGTGTCGAGATGGGAGTCAGTGTCTCTGCAGGCAGCTGTGAGTGAGACCATCCCTCCCCAGCACTTGACTTGGTTAACAAGCCCTTCAGAGCCTCTTTGGGGGAGAGTTCCATTTCTGTATCTTGAACATGGAATTTGGATCACTGTTTGCATTATAATAGTGACGTGCACTAAATACTGAGTAGATATTTGAATAGCAAGGTGGTTTTTTTTTTTTTTAATATTTTGAGTCACTCTGAGTTAATCTCAAAACCTGCTTTAGAGCACTTGCGTTTAGCTCAGTTGGAAGCTGATACTCCTGTTGGAACACAAGAACAGGTATCTTAAAGCAGCTCCCCAAGTTGGAGATACCTGTGCTGACACTAGCCAGCTCTGATTTAAAGAAGGAGTTAATTTGGTCTGTCTTGGACCTGTACTTATGAGAGTTCATTTAAAGTTCTTTTTCAAAGCACTTTGATGTGTTACCATCTAAAGCAGGTGCAATAGGAATTGCTGTGTTCTACAGAGGACAGAAGCAAGGTTTGAAGCCGTTAAGTGCTGCACCTCAGAGCCCACAGCTGCTTCTCTGGAACTCAGTCAACATCGCACTACCTCTGCATCATGCTTTCTTCTTCCTCTGGTGTCAGAACGACCTAGCTTTCAGGACCAGGAAGGGCTGTTCATGCCTAGTTCTGTACTTTGAGACCACATCCGGGGTTTCCTGAAGGCCTGGCACTGCTGCGGTGAGGGCAGTGCTCTGGGCAGTTCCTGTCTCTGACGTTTAATTGTTACTCAGAGTTGGCCCCCTGTGTGGCACGGGGTCCCGCTGGTGGGTAGATCCAGCCATGGGTAGAGGAGTGGCCCTTGCTGTTGTAGATGAGGGAGTCAGACTCGCGTGAAGACCTGACCTGTACAAGCAATACTTGAGAGTAAATGGCTCAGCATGGTTGGGTCTGGTAAAAGCGCCCAGGGACACTGCAGTTGGTCCTGGCCAGTCTCCCGGGGCTTCTTCAAGAGTTTGCTGTGTAAATGATAACTGAAGACGTACAGCGTCTGTGCACGGAGCTGGCTGACCGTGGGCACTGTAAGGACGTAATAAACACAGAAGTGGGGGAAGCCTGCGGTTCTTTAAGAAACAGGCATATGTGGGCCCCTCAGATTTTTTTTCCTTTTTTTTTTTAAGGAATGAAGTTGGGATTTATCTTGTTTTAAGAGATTTGCTGCTAATTACCCAAGTTGAAACAGCTAACTCAGAAATGCTGTAAGGATAAACAAATTGAGACAACTTTGGGGCTCTCATTTGTGTGTGTGTGTGTGTGTGTGTGTGTGAATTTCAGTTATAAGGCAACTTTAAAAAAAAAAAGATTGTATTTATTTATTTGAGAGGTAGAGTTACAGACAGTGAGAGGGAGAGACAAAGAGAAAGGTCTTCCTTCCATTGGTTCACTCCCCAAATGGCCGCAATGGCTGGAGCTGCGCCGATCTGGAGCCAGGAGCTTCTTCCTGGTCTCCCATGCGGGGCAGGGGCCCAAGCTCTTGAGCCATCTTCTACTGCTTTCCCAGGCCACAGCAGAGAGCTGGATTGGCAGAGGAGCAGCCGGGAGTAGAACTGGTGCCCATGTGGTATGCCGGTGTTGCAGGTGGAGGATTAACTCACTGCGCCACTGCACCGGCCCCAAGGCAACTGTTTATTTCTCTCGTTAGTAGCATTTAGGATGGGAAAAATTAGAGTTCTTGGGAAAAGCAGCTTTTAGACTCTGATTCACTTACTGAGACCATTCTCAGGACAGTTTTAATTAGTTTTTAAATCATTTAAATCATTGACATGGTGATTTGTGGCAGATCTAACACTGCCAACAGCGCAGCCTTAGTATTTTAGTAATCCAAGAGTCTCAAACTCTGTAATGACCAGGTACATATTTTAGGAATAGACTACCCTGTGCTAGGTGACCTGTGAGGAGCCCACGAGATCTGTGCTTTATGTGAATTCTCTTAAATGTAGGCCATTGTTGCTCATCTTCTGTTAATCCTGGGTTGCAGCTTCACGCCAGAGTCCCTCTGACATTATCCAGACCAGTGGTTCTCAACCAGGTCCCTGAGTGGGAGCCCCTGAGAAAACCTGAGTGCCTGAGGGACGCTGCTTGGAGATTGGTTTGACTGCTGGGGCTTGTGACCTGGGTGTCAGTACAGTGTTTTTTCAAGCCCATTCCCCCGGCCAGCTCTGTGCCCCCGTGGTACTGATGTTCAGTTAAAACTCGTCTCGGCTGGCAAGGAAGGAGTGCAGGTGAGCTGCTCCAGGCCCTGCGGGAGGAAAGGGCAATGGCCAGGGGTGGTCCAGGCCAGAGACGGGCCCTGTACTCCCATATTGGTCTCCCACATGGGTAACAGGAACCCAAATATGTGGACTGCCCTCACTACCTTCCCAGGCTCATTAGCAGGGAGCTGGATCAGAAGTGGAACAGCTGGGACTTGGCCTGGCCTTTCAGTCTGAAAGGGGCACAAGTGGCAACGTTAGTTTTGTTGCTTTTCTGCTAGATGACCCATCTACCTAGGAGAAAATTTCAGAAAACAAAAACTTAGAACTGACAGACAATATTCATATCAAGTGGCGTCCATCCTTTTCCCATGGGGCAGGAAAATTATCTGGGAAATAAGTGTAGAGTCTGAGCAAAAGTTATAAAGAAACTTAATTGCACGGAGTGCTTTCACTTGGCATTCTTCTGATAATCTTGTTTGTGAAGACTGGGCCTGGCCTGTTTTTGTCTTCAGCGTGGTGAAGCAGCAGGAATGTAATTCTCAGCTGTGGTTTTCCCTTTTGTGTAAAATCGGGAAACCAATACAGGAGCTGTAGTTTGCTAGTAGCTTTCTGCCTTATGTTGTCCGTTTCCGCTACACAGCCCTCAGTCAGAGTAGGCATTGCTGTCCTGTCATCAGAACATCTCAGGGACTTCCCTCAGAATTCACACATTGCGAGCCTCACAGGGCCACACTGTCAGGTTCCCCACGTTCTGTGAGTGTGCTATATTTGGAGATCAAAGAAACTTTAAGTTTAAGTCTACCTATAGGTTAGCAGACCAGTGCTGACTTAGGGAAAGTAAGCAGAAGGGTGGGAGGAGGTTGCACCTGGGGGTGGAAAGCCATTTTGAACCCTACCTGCTATCCATACAGACACTGTTGTCTGCACAGGCTGTACTCCATGTGTTCATTTTACTATTGAACACGCATGCAGACAGAACCCATGAGGTCCTTGAGGTGGCAGCATCTGTACAAGCGGCCTGCCCTGTGGCTTGGAGAGATGTTTGCTGCACACACATCACAGGAATTGTTTTCTACAAAAGCAAAATGCCCGGAAAGCTTTCTTTTTTTAAATAATAAGAAATGAGTGTGTGATAACTGGGTAACTGGTACTTAACAAGTGCTTCATGCTGTCCTATGAAGCAGTTGCCATCCTTGCTTTATAAATAAGGAAGGAGAAGCTCAGAGAAGCCAGCTAGCTTGAAGTTTCAAGCCTGGGTTCCTTGAGTGGACACCCACAGTGCCAAGCGCCGGGGTGCACCAGTGAGGAAAAGGTCTTGTGGCTTCCTTGGAGCTCTTGGTCATGATGCTACCCAGAGACTCGGGGCTGCCCACGGTCAGCCAGCCTGTTGCAGAGGCGGGGCCTTGCTGCCCACTGCAGTGTGAGAATTCTCACCACGCTGTAGCTGCTGCTCAGCCTTCCTGGGAGCTCTGGCTGGCCCGGGAGACTCTGACCAGTTCTCACATCTGGCTGTTCCGCTCAGAGCCGCCTCCTGTACTGCTGGGAAGGACCCGGGATGCTTTCCCCCTTCACTTCGGGAGCTGCCCTGGCATGTTAATGAGGAGACTGCAGCCAGCCAGCCTAACTTGGAGCAGTGACACTGGCCTGACTCGTTGGTAACGAACATTCCCTAACATTGGTGTCTTGGGTGGCCCCTGTCACTACCTCTTCCCTGACTGTGTCTGGGGAGAGTTTGGGCTTCACTCTTGAGGCCTCTGGCAAGAGCCGTAGTAGATTTTCTTCCAGGGTGAGAATTTGGAGGGTGACTTCATAAACACAAAACCAGTTCTCCATCTCAGGTTATTCTCCAGAAAGCTCTTGAGCTGAACACTTGTTTCTGTTGATTTAGATTTCCCCTCTGCTAGCCAACAGCTGTTGGTGTGTGCGTGACTACGGAGCAGTGCCCTAGAAGCCACCACAGTGCATGTTAAATAGCTCTTGGGATTTGAATTTGGGGCTTGTGCGGTGGGGACTGCTGAGGACTGCACGCACACGGCAGGGTTTTCTTGGGGGTTTCCCTGGAGACCCTCTCCAGATGCGCCCTCGCTTGGATTTCCCCGCTCCCTTGTGCAGGGAGGCTCCACGCAGGTCCTGTCACTTTCTCGGAGGGCATACAGCGTGGGATGGCAACCCACAGGGCACCTTTGGTGGGCCTACCTGGGCACCGGACATCCTAATAGAATGCTGTGAAGTGAAGTTCTTGCACCTGCTCTTGAGTGATTTATGACTTCATTGTTGGTCTTCCTGGTTTGAGCAGACTTGTGTGCTTGCTAATAAATTTCTACCACACACCCTGGCTTGTGGTTCATTTCTACCCAATGAGGATGAATTCTAGAGGGTTTTCTGATAAGGGAGGGAGTGACCTGAGTGTTCACCTGCTTTGGATAGGAAATGATTTTGAATCCCAAAACCCTGGTACTAATTTGGGCATTGCAAAGATCAGGGCAGCAAATGCTAGAGAATGTGCCTACTGGAGGTGGCAGTGGCTTGCTATCCATTAGATTAAGTGTTGTCTTTTTAAAGAATGCCACCATGTATCATGTTAAAAATGAAATCTGCATAAGTCAGTGCCTTGCCATGGTCACATGGTTGCTTACTAACCAGTGAAAATCAGACTTTGGTTCCACA